GTTAAAGTAACGTTACACTGTACTCTGGAAGTAAAAGTTCTAAATTTAACATTTTACTTGAGTAAAAGTAACGTAACGTTATGTAACTTAGTAATCAGGAAAATGTTGCTTACTTAAAGTTTTAAAAGTACTCAACACAGAAAAATAGTGGACTGTTATTGTTTATTATTATAATACGGTATGCATCTAATGATTATTTACATTATGGATTCATCTGCTCAACTGGGTAATTGATTAATCGACTAACCATTTCAGCTGTACTCGTATATACTGTTGGGTTGTTAAAGTCAAAACAAATCATCATTTGTCTGCAAAAACAATAAATGAATTTGTAAAGTAACTAGTAACTAAAGCTGTCAGCTAATTGTAGTGATGTAAAAAGTACATTTCCCTCTGACACACTGGGGTAGAAATAGAAAGTGGCACGAAAAGGAAAAGACTCAAGCTAGTTCAGTACTTGAGTAAATGTAGTTAAAGTTAGTTACTGGATTATAGTTGGCCTCATTACCTAAAATGAGACATTTACGGAAGCATAGAATTACGCTACATTTGTTTTAGTCCTGAGAGGACAGATAATGAGCTGCAGCCTTTCTGCTCTTATATCACAATGAGCTCAAGGGACATGTTGTGACTTTGTAAACATACTGTTGTTTTAGACTCAGTGGGATGATGATAGTACATTAAATGCATCAGTTCCTACACAAGTCATATATATTTAAACCTTTGACTATAATTTGTTTATACAGTTTAAACAACAGTCAGTGATTAGAGGGGCACAGTATTAGTATTGCGAGGACTGTACAATAATAACATAGTTATAATGCAGTTCAACTGTGTGAAATAAGGCATAACCAAAGTTCATTGAAGCTGACTTTTCATGCTCCGACCTTTCCATATAAATGCATATTCCCCATGCTGTCGACTCAATCAGCTGATTGTCACTGTTCGACCACGGCCTCCTTTAACCAATCATCTTGTTGCTGTCAAAATGTAAAACTGGTCATGTCTGGGCTGCTTTCAGCTGTCATTTGAGCGCTGCCTTGACGCGCCTCACCTGTCTCCACTCCACCTCCAGCGTTGATCAGATCGAGCCCCTCTGTGTGATTCTGGGTCCAGGTCCAGTGAGCTCATCTGATATTCTGCTCCATGTCTCATCCATCCATCCCGAGTTGAAGATGTAACTCCAGGAAGAGGTTTAATCGGACACCAAGTCATTGTCAGATCTTCTATTTGTTTTTCTGGCGTCATGTCTTCCTCCCTCTTTAGCCATGTAGACACATGCAATGATCTTGGTTAAATAACTGGTAAATTATTGTGAAAATGACATCAGATTTGATAAAGCAGAACAAGGTAATGTACTAATTAAATCTGTGTTTGAGACTTTATTTGTGCCCATACTGCCACCAATCATCGCCCAACCTTATTACCTCCTGTATTTACGTCACAAACCTGGTTTTGTAAGCATGAATGTGTTGTCCCTTTGGGCTCAAGCTCACAGTTCTCCCTCCCAACCTCCTGTGGTGCCATGCATCCCCTGCAGGCCTTCAGGTGTTTGCAGTTCAACAAGAACTTAATGAAAGTCCTATAACCACTTAACTGAAAACACCACTCGGGAATGCTTTGCCAGCTCTGCTGCCAAACATAATAAATACTTCATTGTGTTTAAGGACAGAACTTATATGCTGGAGAACATGTTAAAGAACTGATGCCAGCCAAAGCACTTCTCATGTCTAAAAATAAAACTTTTCTCAAATCAGTTTCCACTGTGCAGATAATTGCTGTCGGTGCGAAGCAATTCTTCTTTGGTAAAGGTCACTCGATTCATAACAGCATGAAGAGTGGCCATCGCTCATTAGGAGAGAGTTTCAGTATCCCATCTAACCTGGCATGAGCCTCACTGTGCTGGCATTTAGGATCAAACACACTGATCAGGCCCACTGGTTTCACCAACTAATGGGCCAGAAATACTACTGCTGGACCTGACAGCAGGATGATCTTTGGCCAAGACATTTTCTTACCAGTGAAAAGTATTAAACAGCAAAGATTTTTTAGAAGAATCCCATGGTTACATTTCCTGAAGTGCAGAGAGAGACTCCCCCTCTAAAACCCTTCCTTTCACCTGTGGAGTCTGGGTATTTGATGTGGCAGAGCCTGCTTATTGAGTGCAAATACCTTATGGGCATTCACTGCTGTGCCTTCCTACTTTATATGAAGATCTATGTATAGTAGAGAGGAAAAAAGGAGAGAGTCAGACTGAGAAATTGGGTGGAAACAGTGAGATGCGTTGTGTGTCATACACCACTGAAATCTGCAGCTTAATATCCTGTGCCCAGACACCCCAGAGAGCAGTGTAAAGCAATTATTCCAACACTTGCCATTCATTCAGGCTAAACGTGCATGCAATTCTCTGTGCATACCGAAACGCAGTAAACAAAAAATATTGTACAAAACATGATTTGCTACCTGCCAAACTAATAATCCTGAAAGAAATAGAAATCTCTTTAGTTCTAGTTTTAATATTCCATAGTTGTTGTCTAAGATGTCATTCCAAGTGCCTGCAGGCAAGTGTTTCTGGATCTGTACTGCATCTCTGTGCTACAGTACTGGCTCCCTGGAAATAGAGTAAATTTTAGAAGCTTTTATGCATATATAAATTAATGAGGACCATGGAGCTTTTATTGAGAAAGAAACCTGCATGAACATGTCCCCCAGCACTGTGGCCATACACCCGCTGTCAGAGCAAATCACCCCCCCAGTGCTGGTTGAAAAAACATGTAGTGTAAGGTGTAGCTGCTGGTGCGCTCAATAGGAGGAGCTGTTGACTCACCACCTCATGTCAATAAGCTTTTTGAGCTGGTTAAGATCTGGGTATGTAGTGATTGATCTGGTGACAGAGAGTGTGCACCCTCTTTAACTTGCAAACCTGTTGGTCCATGACCAATGAGGACAAGCTCAGAAGTGATGCCTCTCTGTGTTCCACTTTCTGGGGTGATCGTGTATCTTGTTTAGGACCACACGCACTGCATACACAGCCAGCATCCTCTCACCTGCTCGCTCAAGGGAGGACATAATCATAATTAAGTAGATGAGTATGCCTCCAGGAAGCAACATGAGAGGAAAAGGTAATTAAGGGTATCTCGAGCATCATGATATCACCCAAAAGAACCTGGTTATCTCCTTACATCCAATTATACTTATCTTACACGTGATGTGAATAATATATAAATGGATTTAGGAACTCATTTTAAGAAATGCCATTCTATTTCAAATTCAGGCTCAGTATTTGCTAAAGCTTAACATTAGCAGATGCCCAAGGACATCTTCAAACATCTCTCCCAGAGACTTCACAAGGTGGGAGTCATCCCACGGCTCTGCCACTGCTGGTGAGGTAAATCACACCCTTGAATAGCTTTCGCTTGCATTCACCTTGAATTGAATTAATGAGGAGGCTCCTCACTGTGTCACAGCGATGAGAAGACAACAGTGAATGGAGAGCAGCATTCACCAGGGACTGCTGCTGGATTTAATTAGTCTGTGTTTACCTCCTTGTGTGACGCCAGAGAACCTGATGCACAATCACAAGCATGTTTGTGCGTGCACGTTCGCTCACACACAAACAGCTGTAAAAGAGATAAATCGTGAGTGCCTCCAGTCAATCAACGCGTAGGAATCTCAGTTGGGAGGAAACGCTAGACAGAAAGCAGCTTCTGAAAGAAAATAATGCACCACATTAGTGTTTTGTTCATGTCGGGAGAACAAGAGAGGGACCGAACGAGTGAGAGTGGAGAGGCTGGTGTGAGGTGTGCTAGAGTTTGTCATCAGGGATGTTCTGCTGAGATGAAGTCTTACAGTGCGGAGAGGAAGTGTACTGATGCACAACTCGGCACAGGCAACATCTCTCATGATCCCAAGTGCGCCATTGAGCAGGCAGAGGCTGAAAAGTAAGGATTTGCTGTTCCTCATTTATCAGTAACATTATCATAACAAAAATATCTCATAAGAAGAGAGGCAGCCCTGATCTTTGCTCTGAGACATTGCTATGACTACATATAAAAAAGTTATGCACTGCATTAGAGCACCAGCATTCACTCTCCTTCCTAATCACGCTTGACAGAAGCCTACAAACTAAGTGGGTTGGAGGTTACATACTGTATTTAACATGCAAACAACTCTACTCCTACGACAGATAGTTTACTTTTCACCCATGAAACCCTCTTCCCTTTCAAACCAATGCTTTTAATAATGGATACATGCATGAGGAAGGAAAGCCTTGTAGGAGCTTCTAGGCAAAACATACTCATTCCCCATTATTAATTTAGGTACAAGGACTAGTATGCTGACAAGTGCATGAACGCTAATTTTTCAAATGCAATGCCTGTAGGAGATGAAGGAGGCCGATGAGAGCAAATCATGTGTAATAATAAACCTTTGTTTCTCAGAGCAACGGGGGAAGAGAGCACGCCGCCAAATAGCCCAGTGGAGGCGCATTAAGAATGCTTGACTGGGCTTTTGGGAGGAACCTTCAGTCCTGGCGGCAAGAGCTCTCTATCTGGCGAAGATGGAGATGAAAACTCCTCTCTGTAGAGTGTTGTATAACCACTTAATATATGGATCGAGGCAAGTGGCAAACAGACACAAATATTTTGTGTACCCACAATGGCAGCAACAGCACACACCAACTGCCTCACCAATTAAACATCATTAACATCATCCCCTCGTGTGTTTCCAAGGTAAGTGTGATGCTGCGATGCTGTGTCCTTAGCCAGGCTGAGAGCCAGGCTTAATTGGCTTTTGAAAGACACAAATGCCCTTATGTAAGGTTCTAAGACCAGCCTCGGGTACAGCAACAACAAAAGAAGGTAGAGATGAGAAGAAATAATGCCCTTCAAACCAGAATGGGCAAAAACTTAGAAGTAGATAACTTTTCTTGTGCAGGTGCACTTATTTTTACAACCAGCCTCTCTGAGCATCATATCTTATATATAAGAATAAACTCAAAATTTGTTATATACTCAAAACGTCTTTTTATAATCAAAAATATCATCCAAGCATTTACAGTGTATTACAACAAGTGATTCTATGCAACTGTTAACAGCCTTTACAGAAAATGAAGAAATATATCCATTTTTGATCTATGATACAAACCAGGAACAGCAAAAAGAGAAGAGAGGAAGGCCAAAGGGTTCGGAGGTTTAAAGTGTTCAGTTAGACCCTGATAAGCCTCCTGGTTAGCCCTGTAGTCCTGGCCCACACTGACACCATACAGAGCCAACTGCCGGCTCTAAAAGCTCAATGCCCTGCCCATGTGGGCGATAACTACATAATAATCCAGTGACTGTAGGAATCGGTGCTCCTCTGTGACTCCCAGAGAGTCGTTATGTCTAAAAATATTTTGCAGACACTGAAGAACGGAGAGTTCAAGCTCATGAAGACTTTGTCACCATGGTTTGGTGTCAACATTCCTGTAACTATGGAAATGTTGTGTTTTTTTTACGTCTCTGCCACCTACACAGAGTCCCTGAAATGCTCATGTTACATTCCTTCTTGATCTGAGATCTGTGCTCAGTCTCTGTGTCCTTGTACAGTCAGGTACAGTCCACAGTCTTTGATATTTGGGCTTCATACTGTGTATTTCACATCTCTACAGTGTCCCTGCGTTGCCTCTTCTGTCTGTCGTCTCTTCCATGTCCCAGCAGTGTCTATGTGCTCTTTATGCCTTGAAAGCCGCAGAAGTTCCAGCGTTTCTCCAGACTGGCTCCGACACCAGTCAGCTCCTGTCTGAAGGTACAGGGCAGCCGAGACAGAAGAGCCTCCACCTCACCGGGGTTAATCTGCGCACACACACACACACACACACAAAAAGGGAAGTCCACATGTAACACAGATAGTCATACAATCAAAGTCATTTCAGACCCATCTCCAAATTGCTATTTTATCTACAAGGGTCTATCTTTGGCCCCTTATAATTCTCTTTATTTTTTTTCATGAATCCAACATAAGCACCCGGTCAGAAAGGATGTTAATGTTCATGTATAAATCTAAGAATATTTATATAAATGAGGCTGCAGGTCTTTTCTTTTATTTGTAGACCTAGAGAGAAGATCATTAATGCTCCTATCTCCTCTAGGCTTGATTATGGTAATGTTAATGACTACAGCTAATGAAAGGCTCTGCCATTGGACCTCTTCACGCTCCAAGAGAAGAAGCCACATTATCCGAGTCCTTGCTGTCCTTCACTTGCTGCTTGTCATGTCATTTTAAAATTTAAAGATATCTATGATTTGTTAACCCCGTATGAGCCAGGATGTGATGTGGAGAGCTGGGGAGCCCTTCTAGCAGCCCCCAAATCTTATCTGGTCACTGAAGGTGACCTGGCCTTTGCCGTCTGGGCCCATCAGCTGTGAAACTCCCAGACTTCTCAAAATTGCTAAAAATAATGTTAAATAATAATGTTAAAGTTTTTACTATATATAATACTATTATATCTACATTGGTTCTTGAGCCATTTGTTTTCATACTGTAAAGTGCTTTTAAATATGAATATTATTATATGAACAGTCTGAAAGACTTGGGTAAAATGAGTATATTGTATATATATATATATATATATATATATATATATATATATATATATATATATATATATATATATATATATTATATATATATATATATATATATATAGAATCAGTGTGCAGGCGTTTCTCTTTTCATTAATGACCAGAAGCCTTGCACCTACACCCCTCCTTAATGTTTAAATAAACACGTTCTTACAGAAAACAGTTAGATGGGCATGTTGCTATAAGAAAATGCTTATTCATTATTTTTGCTCTTTAAATAAGGAACTTCTGCCAGTCATTGCCAACAAACGAGTTAACTTTAGACATTGCTCATACATCCAAACTTTATTCTTTTACACACTGCACACACCTCCTCTCCACTCACATTCAAAACATTCACTCACACCTCCACTGCAATCAGAGAATGATAGTGTAAGTAAATTTACAGCAAGAGTATGACAGCAGAGCAGCCACCTGACTAAGTGAAATCTGGCTCCAATCACTCGGGTGAGTTGAGGATCATTAGTCAGTTCAGACCCTGAGGTGACACTGCCACAACCCACTGTAGGAGCTGCTGTAGACGACCCACAGTGTCTTGTATTAATAAGTAGACTGTTCTGAGCTGATGTCAGGATGCATTAAGGTCCATCATGGAGATAGGACTGGTGTGTCATTATAGACAATGGAGCCGTGTGTGGAGCCACTAGATAAGCAGAGAGGACTGGGCTTGTTGTTGGGAAGTCTAGCCAATGATATTGACAAAACTCTGTGGGCTGCTTGATGTGTGTAGCTGAGAGTCGGTGTGGGAACGACACAGAGCACAGGAAAATTCATATGCACACAGACAGACAAGCGTGGGCGTACGCTCACATACACACACATACACGAGCCAACACATGAACACAGAGACACATTAGACAAAAAACCCAAAAGGCATGAGAGAAGAGACAGTCACACTCTATTCTTTGCATGTGTGAGAATGAGTCAGGGTGGTGATGAGCATATTCAAAGAGTTGTTACAGAGAACAGTAATTTCTTGGGGCAACTTTGTGGATGCAGAGACAAAGTTTTTGCAGATTAATTCTTCCAAATAATGAGTAAGTTTAAAGTGGCCTGATATCTGCAGTCGCAGTCACTAAACTGAAACTCTCAAAGTGGTGACAACAGCCATTTTTTGTGAAGGTCTTCTTGTCGGGGCGGAGAGCACAAATGGCCATTAATCTTAGTGTTACCTTTTGGAGGTGACATTGAAAGTTGGCATTTTGAAAGCCCTATATAAGTGGCAGCGAAGAGCGATAATACGTCTAAAATGCCTCCGCAGAAAGACAGGGATAAAATAGCTGTGCTTCACCAGACAGAGTGGAAACTAAGGGTGTCTGAGGATTGAAGGTGGTGTTTGGCTTCAAGTGTCAGAATGAAGGATCTAGTTTTAATATGTCACAGCATCAAGGGAAATCACACAACTAGCCAGATATGTCTAGACATACAGCTGTGAAATTTCATGTTAGAAAAGAGAGAAACTGTCTTCAAACTTCAACTTTCTGCATCAGTTTTTGATTTATTTAAACCAAGCTGGTTGGATGTCTTTTTCTGTGTGTTTCCTCTGCTGTGCTCAGATCTGGAGATTGATAAAAGTTTGATCTAAATCAAATTCAGTGTCGAATCCACTCATTAAATAAGAATTCTTTGTCTTAACTCTTTTTCTTTGCTGCAAATGCAGAAACACTGTTTTAATAGCAGCCCAATAAATGGTCAACTAACAGCTGTAAGCCTACTGTACTTTGAATTACTTTTAATTTCCCCCACAGGGGATCAGCAGAGGTGCATCTTGTCTTATCTTACATACCAAGCCACTGACTCCAAATACTGAAGGGGTCCTGACTCAGAACTAATAGTTGATAAGATTTAAAAAAAATGATATAATGTGAATCAAACTTAAAGTGGGAGATTCTTTAGTTGATGCAGGGTGATCAGCTAGATCATTCCTCTATAGATCAGTGTCTACTCTGCTGGTCTCTGTAGGAGCCATGTGTATATTTATATTATATTTGTATATTGTTCATCATACCATATCAAGTATGACGTCACATGGGTTGGACCGATAATAAAATTTCACAGCAGCCACGTTCACCTTTGCATATCTTCATATGTTGGATTTTGTTTTTGTTTTTACTTCAACAATGGACAATAATAATCTTGGTGCGGATTTTTCCCTGTCTCATCCTCCCGGTGGCATATGGTCGTCCACAGAAGTTGCTACAGTCCCCTGCTGAACTACAACAAACGAGTCCATTGGTGGACCTACAGTGGTTTCACTTTGGCAGGATAAAGACAACAGCTGCAGAGAGCACATTAACCAAAGAACAGACAAACCTTTCATTTTAGCTGTTACTGAATTAACACTAATTATCTACAGCTGATCTAATCTGCCACCACTGATGTCTGTCATTTTAAGCAGCGATAGTGACAGCTGGATAAAAAAAAAGCTGTTTTTTTTCCTATGGCTCTTTTCTAATAAAAAGGAATGAGGAGAGATACAAGGTTTGATAAAAATGTGTTACCTTTGGAGTTTAACGAAAGTAGAGATCTTAATCTCAATGAGAATGCCAAAAATACATCTAACGCCTAATTGTTTAAAGGGATACTTTGACATTTTGTCAGAGTGTTGGATGAGAATATCAGTACCACTTTCCTAAATGTCAAACTATCCTTTTTTATTTGCTGCAGCCTCACTTAAAGATGTCTCCTCCAAAAGCGTCACGTCTATACAGAGGGCTGTAAAAGCATTAAGGAGCACAGCTTTCACCGAGGGGCTGTGTCTCAACTACACAGCAGGAGCCTGGCATACAACAAGCCCATATGTCAGCCCTGTAGGGGGGACTGACACTGTGTCTGTATGGGTGCATGTAATCTAAAGTGATATTGAAGGCCGGCTCTGCTGATCTACTCCACAGTGGAGCTTCATGTGTTCCCAGTTACCTTGGTGTCCAAACGCTGCAGGTAGGAACAGATGTACTCTATGCTGGCTCCAAACGGGTGGACGTGTAGGAACGTCGAAATGATCCCTGAGGTAGAAAAATAAGAAGAAGAAAAAAAGAAAAGTCACGAAAAGATGTTAACTTGGAGACATGTCACAACACCCTCCAGTTTGTGTCACCGATCAAACATTGACACACTGCCAGAGGATTTACTACTTCTCATAGGCTGAGTCTAACACAAGATTCGAGTGGCTTCTCCCAGAGTCCCAGTACTGTTAAGAGCCTCTTGTATATTGTGGCTCCAGATTAAAGGGAGTGTTTAATGACAGCTTTGATGCCGTTGTCTCTCCTCAAAGCCATACTCTCCCCCAGCTCAAACAAACCATCTGCTGTCAGCTCACAGATAGGGCCAGGAGAGACGTAATCCTCCACCTTGCCTGCTTACTAACCACCAACAGAGCGCCGAGGGGCCAGCAGTTGAAATAAAAACCAAGTGTTAAAACTATAAAGGTTTCCACTGGCTCGAACACTAGAGCAAGAATACCACTATCACTATCACAATACCTATCACTTGAGACTTTTAAGAGGAAATCACTACTCCAAGACTTCATTTTTGCCACCTGCAGGAGGTCAGTCGATACTTGAAAATAAACAATGAGCTAGCTTGGAGCCGCTCCACTGGCATTGAATAAGAGACTGACTGGGAGTCTAATGGTGCATTTAGATACAACACCAAGTAGAATTTCATGTTGATTCATTTGCATGAAATCGCCCACTGGAATGGTTTTGCTGTCTGTGTTTATTTGCCTTAAAGAGCCAATGAACATGTCTTCCAGACGTTTGCTGTAACAACATGCACCCACTCCATGTGTGTGCAGATTGCCAGACTACGAGTGAGTGTCGGAGCTGATAGTACGACTCAGACTCATTATCAATAAATGTCTCAAAAGGTGATCATTAAACACTTCAATACAAAACTCCAACTGTTCCTCTATTTTACAGCACATTTCTTATGACTCGGGATAAATGCAAACTATGACTAGTAGATTTCTGAGTCTGATGGGAATCCCAAGCTCGTGCTTTACAGTGTTGTGCAAATTTGTGGCTCATTCTCAACAGTAGCAGATGAGATTATATCTGAAATTGCACCAGCTAGAGCAAATCTGTTTCCTATTTTCTATGCATCCGGGCTTTATGGTGTAGCTGACGGATGTTTGCTTCGGTTTTTGAAGCTCTAACAAATACAACACGTAAAGTTTCAACTTGCTGTGTGACCATGGAAACCACAGTGAGGGAAATGATGCAGCAGCTGATTTAACTGGTGGCTGAGCTCCCTGAATTATACACCTCTTCACCAGCAGAGAACAGAAATATAAATCAAAGGAAGTGGTATTGTATCATCTTCAAAGTGTAATTATCTGGTCTGGAACAATAAATAGGGTTTATGATGCTAGCTTGCTACATTAATTATGTCATATTGCTAACTATTATCTGTATTTTAAGCTACAACCTGCTCTATTTGCCTGCATAATGAGATTATACTTGGTGGACAGCAGCCACCTGTGGTGTACAGACTAGTAGGATCAAAGGTAGCTGGGAGCCACAGTATTGGATTTGCACTCTGCTCCCACCAATTAAAAATAGAGAACATAGAAGTTGCAACCAATCGTTGTCTGAAAGCACCTTAAATCTTGTAGAGAGTTGAGGGAGACAGTGGGGTGCAGCTAGGAGGTGGTTAGTATAGCAGTGTGGTCGTTTGGAAAGGTATCACCTCTGCCTTTATGCAATAATGTGCAATAAATCAAATTATTACAAACTGAATGACAGAACACCTGGAGAAAACCTCAAAATGTATGTACCCCTAGAAATGCATAATAACAATGGAGCTATGGAGCAGTTCATAGGTAAAAACAGAAAATTGATGTCTAAGTGATAATGTAAGAGTCAGATTTGTGTCAGCATACCAACTAGCAGAGCTTCTCTCTCGGAGTGGACGGGACTCGGTGGATTCTTCTCTGTAGGACCTTCCTTCTCCTGACTGCAGGACACCACTGTGGAAACTGCGGCTTCCTACAAACACACACACACACAAACGCACACTTACCAGCCTGTTTGACCGTGGCTGATGAGAAGTAAACAAGCTTAAACTTAAGCTGATGCATGGCACACAATAAGTAATAAAACCACAAATAAGAACGAACACATCAGAAAGTTTCACCACCAACACATTAATATGGAGAGACAATGAGGATGAGGATAATGAGGCGAGGGAGAATTTTCCGCCAGCAGCTATATTTCTGATAGAGGGATGAAATGCTTGTCTCACACACACACACACACATACACCAAGGCAAAAAGCGAGTGTAAGAAGAACAAATAGAGGGAAAGAGGAAGAGACTTGGAAGGCAAATGATCAAGCTGTTTGTTTCAGATCTCTGACAGGTGGCAGAAAAATGGCAGAGGAATAACAGAAGAGTTTTTGTCTGTTTGTTGTCCTACATAGTATTGTACTATTTATTTCCACTTGTGTGTGTGGGATGCCTGGTGGCCTTTTTCTGTTTTTAATCTATCCATAACACCCTGTGAGTGTGTGTGTCAGTGTGTGGGCGTGCAGACATACGCACATGTGCGAGCCGTTTTGACTTTATGATTCCTTTATTTCCTAGCCCAGTTGTGTCTGGGTGATTTATTCAGTGACAAATGCAGTTGCAGTGAATTGGATTGGCCTGTAATGATCTGTCATGTCGCTGGAAGAGGTTAGAGAGGAGAGACAGAGGAGGAAGAAGAAGAATAAGGAGGGGGAATGAGGACACAAAACAATATCTGGAGAGGAAGAGGGGAGGGTTCAAACTTTTCTCCACTTACACTGGTTTGATTAGCACTCTCCTCACCGCCTCTGTCATCTTGCTTTGACATCTCCAGCTGCGGCACATTAGAAACATATGAGTATAAGATGCAGAGAAACAAGCTAAGCGCTAATGTAGACAGACGGGGGAGCATGGTTGTGCCGCAGACAATTACTAGCATTGTTTACTTTTAGAATAATGTCCATAAATGTGCTGATTCTGAACAAACAAGGGAAAGCTGAGACACTCAACTCCATATGGAAACAATTAACTCTTTTTCTGTCAAGATTTGCACACTCAGCTATTCAATTTGTAACAATACAACACTTTGGGAATTTGGATTTCCAAAGAATATATTAGTGCAGACTTGACCAGTGATTCTACAGTGCAGTGAGCGCCCCCTCACTGAACCCCTTCAATACAGGATGGCTTTATGGAATTGTTCATTTGCACATGACTTAAGAAAACACAGTGTCTGTCTGTCTGTCTGGCTGCCTTCAACTATCACTTAGAGCTAGATGTTTTCATTTAACATTTATTATGCATTACTTTATCCATTTCACGATTCTGCTCACTTGCTAACTAGTTTCTACACTTATTAAACTAAACACCTGGTGTTAAAATAACTATCCACATAGTACTACATAGCAAAGAACTATATGTTGTCTTGGTGAGTTTTATTTTGTTTCTGTACAGTTAGTTACGATGATCTGTGATGTAAAATGACAGTTTTTGACAATAGATTCTGGTGGCGAGCGATACAAAGGCTGTTTTAGCTTAAACAAAAGGTCTAGAGTCTTTGTAGGGAAGGATCCCTGTAGACCTTTGTTACATAATGTTGTTTTTCTTTTTTGGGGGGGCTTTTATTGCCTTTAATCAATCGTGACCGCTGAAGAGTGACAGGAAAGTGGGAGATAGAGGATGAAGGGCAGCAGAGGGCCACAGGTCAGAGTTGAACCTACAGCTGCTGCAGCAAGGACACATTAGTACATGGGGAACCAGCTCTACCAGGTGAGCTACCAGGACAACCCTAGTGGATTTGTCCCCAAGGATTATATTGCTGGCACAGCTGCTGAATTAACAGTTCATTTCAACCAAACCAGAACAGATGATTGTTGGAAAGACTGAGTGATGATGGTTTTAGTGTGTTTTATTTTTTTTCTGTCCAGTTTGAAGTGTGTAAGATTATCTACTATTTAAAATTACTGTTTTTGTCAATGGAGTCTGGACCATTGTGTCCGTTTGTTTTGGTCTGAGATGCTGGTGCTCTAGTGTGACATCTAGTGGCAGTGAATTCCATATATATAACCTCTAAGGTGTTAAAATGGAGTCACTACAATAAGAAACTGAGCCACGTCCATGTGCAGTTGGCTTGTGGTAGCTGGAAGGATATTTGTTATTGTGACAATAAATAATTTACAAAATCAATTTGTTTTTGTTCAATTTAATGGAGCTATAATCTTTTCACATAGCCCTGGTAACTGTACAGTACAGTACCCCTGGTTGGGAAGCACTGGATTACACTATTGACACCAATTTATTGGCAGCAATTTCCATAACAAATTCACTTTTTATCTATCTATCTATTTATCACTGTTTATTTATCCAACAAAAATGCCAAACAGTCGTTGTTGTGGTCTGTTGATTGGACAAAACAAGCAATCTGAAGAATACACGGTAGGTTCTGGGAAACTATGATGGGAATATTTATGACATTTTAGAGACTCAATGATTGATCATTTAAAGGGGCAACGATTGTATCAGGTCACGTGTGATCAAGAGTACTGCTCAGTTTGTACCATCGGAATTTGAACTTAAACAGCAGCTTTAGGAGTTTGATGACATGGACCTTTACCAGGCAGGAAGGGTCTGATGAAAAGATGCTGCAAAGGTGCTGCATTATGGGAAGTGTAGGCTCAAGCATTTCTTGATCAATTTTCTTTTAATGTGTTTCTTGAGAGTCCCCCTACTTTATAGAAATACAATACTAAATCTCTTGAGTACTCCTTTAATTAGAAAAATTATCAACAGATCAATCAATAATGAAAATAATCATTAGTGGCAGCATAAAATATACATGGGAAAGAAAAGATAAATGTGGTGAAGGTGAATAGCCTCAATGACCTGCACTGGTGTCAATCCAGTAATGCATGGTGACAGTGGGAGTGGTGATTGGACCATTGAAGGAGAACTGATGGCATGGAGAGATCTCCTCAATGTGACAAATCACCACACAACAACCGCTAATCTTCAGAGAAACCAACACCCAAAAATTGATTTCTCTTTCTCCCATTAATGAGACTGCCTCTCATGATTCATGTTTTCCCACATGCAGGAATTCAATTAGCATATTTCCCTGGGCTCACAGTCGCGGGGACAAATTTCTAATCAAACTCATCACCATTAATGCCCTATTGACAACTCCGTCACTGCGGTTGATCTGAACGAGGAGACGCCTTAGCAAATTACTAATTCACCTCTGTGTTATATGAAACCTGCAGTCGGCTAGTACATCTCAGGGCAAAGAGACGACACATGGAGCAGCTCCCCACATGGATTGACAGCCTCTCGTTTGTATTATTATCCAATTTAATAGGCGATTGAACCTGAGGCTCATTTTAATGACAGTCCTTCCTCTCATTATTATGAGCCAGAAGGAACATTAACAAACATTAGCTCTTGAATACTGGGAATATGGGACAACACCTGAAACATTAGTAAACATGACATGTGTAACAGAGAAAAATGACCCCTTGAAACTTGAAATTGTTTAATGAGATTGTAGATCACGGTGCACTGTATTTAGCGATGTACTCTTGTAGTAAAACAGCTCGCCACTAATCAATATTAGATGGAGTTTTTGTTGGGAACAACATGCCTCAATGTAAGCAACACATTCAATCAAGTAACAAATGTGATGTTGGAATGGATGAATAATGTAGCAGAAGTGGCTCTAAGTGATGATGTGGCCTTGTATAACAGCATCTCCCAGTTACAGCCTGTTGGTCAATTCAAACTAAATGATTGCTCTGTGCAGATGTAACCCAGGGGACACAATGTTTAGGAATGAGAGTATGTGATTAGGTTGCTGGTGATCAATGTCACATAAAGTCTCAGCAGCAGACAAATAAGGAAACAATTTAACTGCGGTCAACCATACTCAACATGTTTCCAGTTAGGAAATGAATGGATATCTTCTGGTTTTACTTAATGTAGCTGCAGTAAGAACATGCAGTTATAGAGGAGTGGACTAAAAACCATCTGGTTAGAGCAGCACAAAACTGAAGGAAAATGACTTTTTGTATGTATTAATGGATAGTTTATGTAATAATATGTTATATGTTTTATATTTAGACTTTTGGGAGTTCCACTACAGCAGGCTGTTGCACCAGCTATGTTTCAGTTTCAATGTGGCTCAATTTGAACTTAGTCAGAGAGTCCCATACTAACTTAGGAAGATCTAGTTAGATAGATATCTGGTTAGTTTTTGATTAAAAACATACAAGAGCCAGAAAAGAATTTCTTAAATAGCTGCACTGACTACATCCCTTTACATTTATGATGACACTGACTCCAACAACATCAGTGCTCAGTATTGTGCCGTACAGCGACCGTTATGCTAACAGATGGGGAAGTGAAATGGGAATTGAATGAAATGGCAACTGAACAAAGTGGAGAGTTTAATGTGAAACTAACTAGTTACAACATTGCAATTACGACAGTCACACTTCCTCACTACATTCAGCTGCAGCGACAGGCTGCAGGCTATGTAGTGGACAATAAATATTTATGAAGATAAAGATAAAGATGTATAGGGCTGCAATTAACTATTTTCATTATTGATTAATCCGCTGATTATTTTCACAATTAATCGTGCGTTCGATAAAATGTGATAAACTATGAAAATTATTATTTCCCAGAACCCAAAGTGACATTAGGATGTTGCTTGATTTACAAAAAAAAATCAGATTTGATCTAGAATATTTTTGCAATTTTTGGAATAATAAATCAATTATTACAAATTGTTTCCTGCCCATAAACCAACATATTACTGAAACAAAACAAAATTCTTTCAGCCCTGAAGATATAGCAGAGTCAATGTGATCATGTGAATATTTGTTTTTCAGTATGAACTGGCAATGAAGGTTTTGCTCACTAAAGCAGAACAAACTTTGAAGGACACTAAAACGGTTGGAAAAAAAGTTTACTGCACACAATGGATGACAAATAGTCAAATGATGTTTGGTTGAATATGTTGTCCATCAGATGAATTATTGTACACTAATAAAAGCTAAATGAAGGGAAATCATAAACCTGATCAACATACTGAGCCACTTAAAACCTGAAAGCTGTATTATTAACTTTTTTTGGAGGAAAATTAGAAATTAAAGAGTCGATTATAATGCATTTAAAAAAAGAAGGAAATAAGCTCCCCGGGAGGAAAATGGGAAAACCAGAACACTGATTGAAGTTAGAGATAGTCTGTCTCACTGTGGTAGGACGTTCCCTGCAGTGTTGATATTATAAAGATGCACCCAAAAGAGCTATTTTGCGATATCTGATTAGCTTAGAAAGAAGCTATTTTCTACATATAACAACTATCACATTCTTTTGTTTATTGAAGATTTAGCGTTGGAACTAATTTCTTTCTTATTAAAGTGCAAATTAATTTACTTTCAGACAAACAGAGTAACCCAGAAATGAACTTCCATATAAAAAAAACAAGGAAACATGGTAGATTCTTCCCCTTTCTTCATTCTCAGGAAGGCCAACAGAGAATGTGTGTGTTTTCTGTCAAACTAACCTGGATTGCGTGAGTGTTTTGCAGGTTTTGGAGTCCTTCCTTCAGGTTCAAGACTTGGTTCTTCAGCTGCTGTTTGTCTTCCAAACTCTTCTCCAGCTCTGCCTCTCGCAGTTTTAATTCTTCCCTCATTTTTAACAGTTGCTGCAAAAAAAGAAAAAGAAAAAATGGGAGAACGGTAAGCCGCTAATGCTACTCTGAACTAACTAACCGTGACGATGCTAACCTCGTGCTCAAACTGTTCTGAAAGCAGAGGAACAATCAGCCATTTGTTTTATTAATATTTAGCATGTAATCCCTCCACCGGTAATTAGAACTTCAGCTTAATACAAAAAAGCAATTAGACACTGACGTGAATTATATCTCCAATAAACACTTTCTAGAAGGAAAACAATTGTATCATATTCTGTCGTATTCTATTCTGTTCAATGTGTCCAAGAGGAGTAATTTGACAAATCCTTTGCTTTGCTACACTCAAAAACTACAAATAACATATGGATCATTTGGGTGAAACAAGAGCGGGTGTTTGAGAGAGCTTTGATAGCTAACAACTACATTTATCTCCAATTTGTCCTCTGAAGTTTTGTACTAAACAGATGAAAGGATTCACTTCCTGCTGAGTTAATTTCAACAAAAGAGGGTCCGTGAGATGCAGGGGGTCTTTACAACCCAGAATTTTCATCTGCAAAGCTGCACATTAAGTGCTTTTGTGTTACATGCAGTATAATTCACAAAAGACAAAACAGGTTGCCAGTACATGCTGATAATATCTCATTGCAATTTGTGTGTCTGCGTGATACAACATGTGGACTCTGGCAAGGGGAGGTATCCAATTTCAGTGTCTTCCAATTCATTTAATCCATTCACCTAATCTTTTCATAAACACATCATGAGAGACGTAAGCTGGAGAGGTAATTATTCTCTGCAAGCAGAAATGAACAGCAGGGCCTTAATGGATTCTCTTCTTCTAAACATGAATCGATCATAATTTCCATTACCTGTGACAGCTAGATAAGTGAGGACACTTGACAAATGCCAGAATGAGTCAATTTAGTAGTCCTTTAGTATTTAAAACAGGGCCGCCTTTTAGCTTGATATATCAGGGTGGGCTGGTAGAAATAATAGGTGGACAACTTGGGCGGTATGTAGCCCAGAAGTTAGGGAAGCAGACACATAGTCCGAAGGCTGCCGGTTCAAATGCCTGGCCAGATGGCCCAAAAATCTGGTAAAATGACAGCTGGCAACTGGAGGGCTGTCAGAGTCAGGAACCGATACTCCTGGCAATGTGCCCTCAAGCTTGAGGTGTTTTAATGGGTTAAATATAGAAGATTAATTTCCCTATGGGGGTTGATAGAATATTATTAGTTTTAAATTTATAAAGACCAATGTGAAACAGGGAAATTGGGAGGTAGTGTGTTGGAAGTAGTATTTTAACATAATGAACTCGATACCATTTATTTTCATTGGATAATCTTAGTTCTCAAATAAATAATTAAAACTTAATTCATTGAAACGTTTACTCGAACAACTCAATCAACTAACTAAACACTAACTTCAATGCAACTATATCTTTATTTAAAATATAATTTTTTATTTCATTTATTTCTTTAAAATCTATTTATTCTATTAATTAAAATTTACATACATACATACATACATACATACATACATACATACATACATACATACATACATACATACATACATACATACATACATACATACATACATACATACATACATACATACATACATACATACATACATACATACATACATACATACATACATACATACATACATACATACATACATACATACATACATACATACATACATACATACATACATACATACATACATACATACATACATACATACATACATACATACATACATACATACATACATACATACATACATACATACATACATACATACATACATACATACATACATACATACATACATACATACATACATACATACATACATACATACATACATACATACATACATACATACATACATACATACATACATACATACATACATACATACATACATACATACATACATACATACATACATACATACATACATACATACATACATACATACATACATACATACATACATACGAAGGGGTTTTGACATTATAGGGGGTTCTTTTAAAAATGCAACTGTTGGTCATCCTCTAAAGGTTTAGTAGTCAAGAAAACAAAGTCACCAAAATATGAATTCTTTCTTATTTTTTCACTTCAAGGAATTATTGTCAGTGATGGATTGTGGTGATTGTTTTCTCAACTGCTGTTTCCAGGTCAAGAAGAAACTTTGAACTGAAGTGGCTGAAGTAGATTAAAGACAAACTGTGTGTGCGGTAACTTGATTTTCAAAAAATATTAGGACATAATTAATGTGTATGCACACATACATGGCAATATTAATGTTTTATTTTTAATGTACTTATATGTCCATCTTGAATCCATACAACTGTTGTCTTTGATGACTTCTTTTGGGGTATTACTCTTTTACCTTACTTGCTTCCTTAAAATATTTCATTGTTCATATGATTTTAGCTCCTTTTTTCTAATATTTCTTATTGTGAGACATTGAATTCCTGCCTCTTGATAATGGTTGGTGGACTGTAAAAACACCAGGGATTACAATAGAAAGGATCATTCTGTCCCTGACAAAGTCTGACATGCAGGATTTTATGAATATATAAAAATGGTGTAATCCAAACCAAAAATAGCTATACCACCCACTGTGAGATGGTTTCATCTGGAAATGAAACACTGAAGATGCTGTACAACAACATTCAGAATCCAACATACTGATTAGGGATGCACAATGATATTGCCAAAGCAAAAGGCTTTAAAATAAAACCTCGGGATCTGGAATTTATTCTGAAACTGAAACTAATGGAATTTATTGCTCTGCACAACAAATGGTTTTTGTTCGTTGAAGATGTCAGGATTTCTGGACTATGTTGAACCTAACGCTACATGATGCCCAGTTACTGGTATTTTTTAGATGTGCCTTACCTGAGTGGCAAGCTGTCATTCAATTTTTAAAATAATTTATACAGTTAATATTTCATTGAGTTAAAGCAACAGTCTTTAGGCTAATTTATTCAACAGTGTGACATCAATGTTCTTTCTGTTGGCTTTAATTGCTGTACAGTTGAACAATTCACTTACTCACACCTGTGGACAGAGATTACATTTATCTACTTTACTTATATTTACTCAAATTTGCCCTGGTTGTTGTTTGTTGATTGTCTCAGGGAAAGCATCATCCAAGCCTGATAAAGTAGGATGAATTTTACAGTTTGAATGTGAATGTGTACATTTATTTCATGTTTGCATCTGCCAGTGGGCCATCACGATAAGAGTAGGCATAATAATATGTTAATTCCACTACAGGAGAGACTTCATGTTCTCTGAAATTAGGTTGACAAAATATGTGCATATATTGGCATGGACAATTGGCAAAAATGAGCTGGAAAACATTGGCGTATTCGGCATCGGCAGGAATCCAATATTGTGTATCCTTAATAATGATGATATGAAAGGCACATTTAAAAAAAAAAAAAACTCCGACTTTGTATTACCTGTCTTTGTATAAATGGTCGGAAATTGTTTTAATAGCCTTGGGTTTGATCCAAGAGCTAGAATCATAGCACACAAACCCCCAAACTCAAATAAAACTCATTCCAATTGCGAATAAGCTTTCCTTTAACAAGAGTAAACCTTAAAATGTGATTTTTTTAGCAGCTCTCTAAAAAAAAAAAAAAAAATCGAACAGCTGCACCAGACAGCTGTACTTTCCTACTTGTTCCCACACAGCACTCTTTTAAAGTGCTGGGTGATGAATAAATGACAGTTGCGTTTTTCATTTTACGTGGAAAATTCAGTGGGTTAACCCGAGTGACCTTGTTCTTAAAAAGAAACCTGGTGCAGAACAGCAACGAACAGGAGATTAAACTTATTGTTGGAAGGATGATTTGAAAAAAGTGTCTGCATGCTTCTGTGTGTGTGTGTGTGTGTGTGTGTGTGTGTGTGTGTGTGTGTGTGTGTGTGTGTGTGTGTGTGTGTGTGTGTGTGTGTGTGTGGGACAATAAGTGCTACCTTCTGCATGCCTTGCAGAGCTTGCTGTAGGAAGCTGAGTTGCTGAGAGTGTGTGTTGTCCTCCTCACTCCTGATTGGTTGGTTCTTGCCCTGTTCCTGTTTGAGCAGCTCCACCTCGTTCCTGTAGGCGTCCAGCTGGCAGCGCAGGGAGTCATTCTCCTCCTTTAAGGCCTCTGCTTGGGAAACACCTACACATTTATACATAATATATAGACTACAGTATGGAATATCGTGTTTAATATGTAGAACACTGTTACATTTGTTCAATCTGCACCTCGTCACTACAAATTATTATCCGGTTATCCCTGATCTGTCTCTTTTGTGGGAACATACAGGTTTCAACAAAAAAAACACAGAAGCTCTTAGACGGTGACATTTGCAATCGTGATCAGATTGCTCATTGTTCATTTCAGGGAGAGCAGGCACAGAGTAGAGTAGGATTGCGAAGTGGTGAGCATCTTAAAATTCCAAGCATAATAGTGAAAAAGGAGAGCTCAGTTTTATATCATGCAAATTTCTGGCATCTTGAAACACAAAATGGCAAACGTCCTCTTGATAGATGTCTGCTGATAAATATCTGCCTGTTCCTGCAGAAGTATTTCAGAAAAAGATCTTGTGTCTTATGTCTCTGTCTAATTTATTAAGTTATACTCAAAAACTCATCTAATCAGCTTCATCAAGACTATGTGGATCTGGTACATCTGGATCAATAGAGCTGCAAAGTGTGAGGAGCCATTTTGGGGGCCCCTGGTTGGATGTAAAAGCCCACATTAATTTTTCTCAGAGACAAAGTGATGTGACTCACAGCTGGAATACTTCTATGGCTTGGATCAACGTGACAAATTGTCAGTGAAAAAGACACAACAACTGGATTAGAAAATGAGATGAAAATATTATGAAAATTTGAAGGTATAAGCTTGTGTTCATAAAGACTTTGGGGAAGAATTCAACTATGACATCCAAGGTGCAATTAGCAAAGAAACATCTAATCACCTTATTATCACAATTCTGTGATGTATGCCACTAATGGTGGGTGAAAGCTAAAGATTAGTGTTGAAAAAACTGACAACACTATCTGCAGCTTTCCATTGTGCACAGACAGGCTTCTACAATAGCAATGGTGGCTAAGCCCATGGGTAGTGCAGCATTTAGCGTCATCTGCCATGTCAAAATGACAGACAAAACATGATTTCCCAGAAACGAAGTTGATAAACCCAAAATACCATAAACCCATATGATTGTTGCATCACCAGGGAGAGTCCTGTGTTCACAGCTTCACAACTCTATTGACAGTGGCATGGAAACAATAAGCAAACAACCTCACAACTGCAACCAGATTTTGTTTCAAATACTGCTACATCCTGAATGGTGCACAGATGTAAGAAAAATCACCTTTTTGTGACTGAGAGGCACTCACTTCAAACCAGCGAGGAGAGCCCAGAGAAAACCAATACAGAAATCTCTCATGTGAAACCAAAATTGTTCTTACTTTGGCAGAAAATAGTATGAATTGTAGGAGCAGATTGAGAAAATAGGCTTTCTGGACATTTAAAAGATCTCTCTACGGGTAAAACACAATCTACCGAACACAAAAGGGTCCAAAATCTCAAGGTACAATGATGTCAAGCTATCTTGATATTTTTATTTGGATATTCCCTCCATGTCAGACAATCAAACACCTACAGTATATTAACATAGACTACTGAAAGATTTGATAATCCCAGAGTGTTTTGCCCAATAGCTCTCGACTGGACATTTGACCTGACCTATTGAGCAAAGAGAGGAGACAGTGGGAGTTATTACTATATGAGACCTGCTCAGCTTCAGAGATGTCCGGTATTATCAGCTCTGCTCTCCAACTGTGGGCCTTGAGGGGAAGCTCTTTGGGAAAGTGCAATACACTGACTGTACTCGGGAGATAAGCCCCATCCTGTGTGAGTCTGTGTGTGCGCGCATGAATGCGTGTCTGGTTAGGTTTTGTGTGGGTGTTCATGAGTGCTGCCTGCAGTCTATCATGGAGGACCATTGGCAGTGTTAATGAACTCTTGCTGGGTGAGTGTGCATGCATCCATGTTGTGTGTGTGTGTGTACTTTTCTCCCAGCAAAATGAAGGTTTGAGGTGAGAAGAGTATTGATCTGACAGCCTCATCAACTTGGTGTGAGGAGATGTCAACCACATGGCCAGATTCTGAGCAATTCCCCTTCTGTTACGTAACAGGCAGCACTATCGACCTGCAGATATTGTGCGTGTACACAGACACACACACACAGACACACACACACACACACACACACACACACACACACACACACACACACACACACACACACACACACACACACACACACACACACACACACACACACACACACACACACACACACACACACACACACACACACACACACACACACACACCTACAGGCAATAGAGTCATGCACACAGGCGTTTTTTTTTTGCTTCCTATTCTGTACATGAGTCAGTCGCAGAGCATCGATTCACTTTTAAAGAGGTTGCAGTCACAACACAGGTGTTTACAGCAGGGCAGGCTGACGCGTAAATATGCCCCTATGCTAAAAGGTTAGCGAGTAAAAGAGGTGTAACAGTTGACCTGTTAACACAAATACCAAGAAGTGTCAAATTAACACCTGTCACCTCAACCAATCCTGGAGCAAGGAGTGAAATGACAGGTCTTTGACAGCATTACTAATTACAGATAGCTAAACAGCAAGGTTGCAAAAGACATGGGGCTGAGCTGACGACTGTATTTACATACATTTGCATGCTGATTAGAGAAGCTGTCATATTAGCAAATGGCAGAGATCAGAATGATTAAAAAGGTGAGAAGAAAGAATACGTGAAATGAACATTACAACACGCAGAGAGGCACAAAACACGAGAGAGAGATGACTTTACATGTGGTGGTTATGGTTACAGGCATGTTGCCCTGGTGACTACTCTACACTTATGGGCTATTATAGTTGAGAGATTAGCAGCACCGTTAGTTTTTGTTGCTTCAGCAAACACAAAGAGACTCCTATGAGGTAAAAACAGGAGATTATGGTACTTCAGTGGTACCCCGGTCTGAAATTAGACGGCAGCTGGCAGGTGTGGACAGATTCACACACACAGGTACACGCTCGTATGGAGTTGTGTAGATTCACAGGCATGGACCTGGGTGGATGTCATTCAGTAGACGTGTTTGGCATCAACTCAGCAAAGCGTGTGTGGTGTCAGCATTTTGATGGACTTTGAATGTGCTTTTTATTCATGTGGAGTTGTCAACTAGTTGTCAGATGCTTGGGGGATGATTACTGTCATTTCAGTCAACACACAGCTGTCTCCCTCAGTTATTCAACACACTCTGTGTTCATCCTCTGGAGACCTTGATCAGTGTATGGTCTGTCATGTTGACAGAAGTGCTCAACTGAGAATACGTGCATGCTTATGCATACCTGAGTCCTCAGAGTCCTTGCTGTCTGGGGCATCCTCCATGTCATCATCAGACATCTCCATCTCCTCCTCTCGCCTGATGCCCATCAGCTGCTCGTTGTGCATGTTTCTAATCTCCTAGAAAACACAACCAAAAGAGGAGCGGGTCAGAACGGCAAACACTCATGGGTGATGCACGTTTTAGCAGGTGCTAGTAGGCTCTAGGATCATCAGTGAGGCACCTCTTTGATTTAATTGTTAATGCTAGGCATTAGGTGTAAGGAATACTTATGATAGATCAATACAGAACAAAACAAGTGTAGATGAATACAGATGAAAAGGATGGTCCAAAAGCTGGTGCTCCTCTGGCACAGCGATAGGGCAGGTGGTAGCACAAATATTACCAGATCCCACAGTTTTGTACTTCTTACTGGGAGAAAATAGCACATTCATGCAGCTAAAGTTCAAGTAAGTATATGAAACTGAAAACCACGGCTTAAAAACACTGATTTAGGACGACAACGAATGAAATGTGTCTTAGTTTGGTTTACACCCCATGTTTTAGTCTTATATTTGAGTGCACATCTGAAAACACAGTAGTAACTGCACAATACCAGTCTTCTCTGTTTAATTTCAGCCTGGCAGACAGATTCACTAATGACCACATCCATCTGGAGACCAGTAACCAGAAACAGGTTTCAAAATGGTTTAAAGATTAAGGTCAACCCACTGAATTGGACTGGCTGTAAATTAGAGCAAAGCTCCCAGGTGCGTGTCAAGAGAAAAGCAAAAATCCTCATGGTACATAACATACATTAGGCAGTCCATGCTTAGACCAAACAATGGACATACTGTCTATGAGAATCTGTGCTTGTATAGGGTTTCTAAACACCATTCAGCTTTCATTCCTTGTTGTGAGTCGATGTTTGAGCTACAGTAGTACATAGCGTGACCATTAAAAAGAATAAGTCAAATTCTAGCGGAGCAGGAGAAAAGAGAGCAAGGACTAAGAGGCCTTTTACACTCCGAGGGTTGAAGGTAAGAGAAAAAGGTCCAAACAACGTGACTTCAGTGTCGGGATAAGAAATCCATGAAAACATGGGTGGCATCTTGTAATGAACAAAAAAGAGAGATACATTTATTTTTTTGTATATGAACCACTTGATATGTTCTCTGATCCCTACAATTTTACTTACCATTATTTAGATGAAATATCTGTTCTCTTTTAAGAAGAGTTTAACAATAATACTGAATTATTGCCTGGTCCTGGCTGAAAAAATGACATTACATGTAATGTATACAACACATCACCTAATATACAAGGTGAGCCAGTTAGCCAACCATTATCTGCGTTGATAGCATTTTTATCATTACACTCCAGACCACAGCTACTTCCATATACCACTTTGTTTAAACGATCAAATTTTGAGATTTGTGCAGTATTATAGCAGTTCTCCATAAAAAAAATACCCATTTACTCACCTTTAGTAACCTATCACAGCACACACTACTCCCCATGATACATATTTTTTGCACACAACTATACACACAGGGATATCTGGTCATCAACAAATGTAAAAATTCACACATTTAACATGTAAAAGAACACAAGTTGAACAGATAGAAAGTGTTTTAGGTACGTACTGAAACACACATGTACATATACTGTATACAAATAATACCAGTGGACAGAGATATGAGTGAACTATCGAATCAAATTCACAACAAAAGACTGAAAAATACTCCTAAAAGCTAAAGGGAGCAAAAAGCTGCCCAAGAGTAAATAAACTTACAACCATCTGTCAGCTGACGTTATCAACCTGAGCCCATGGCAGAGGTCAAACAGGTACTCTACACACACAAGCACACACAGACACACAACCATCTGGTGTGTATGGAGCACACTGTGCACACACACACATCCAGGCATACGCACAAGCGGAAACACACTACATAAAAACACTGACAGAGGGAGGCAGCTGTTGTCTGATTCTGCCTGGGAGCTGCAGCTACTCAACACCGCCGATCGTTCCTCCATATTTCACCTCCAGGCCAGAAAATCATACTGAATATACAATGACTGAGAGTGAAACCGGCTGCCTATTTGATGATAAACTACCCCAGAGCAACTGCACTTACTTACCTATGCTCTTTACGCTGGCCAGAGGCTGCCAGTCTTATACACAGCAGCCTCTAAAGCACGCCTGTATAATCAATGTAGAAATAAACCTGCATTAAGCCACATTTTTGATTTTGAATCAAATCACTCCATGTAATGAAAAACAATGACCAATTGTCCTGGAAGTTACAGAGAATTAGTGCCTGCTTCTGCAGCTCTATGCAGCTTTTTGACACTTTTTAGCCTATTATTTTGGTTCTCTGACCTTTACACAGAATGTATGGTTGCATCTCACAGCTCTTATTACACCCACATATATAACCCAAAGGCAGCCGTTTCCAGCTCAGGCAATCTGAGTGTGCTCTAAATAAAATGACAGAGAGCTGAAGTAAACAAGTCACTGGTGAAGAAATCTGAGCATGTAGCAAGCAAAGAGCCCCAAATATCCACTCAGTAGTTGATGGTAATCAAACCAACGCTAGAAGGCGAATGAATGTTGGATGTGTAAGTAGGCAACTGTTTGCCAGCAGGTTAGACATAACAACTTGATTAAAGCTACATGGACAGCACACATGAATAGACAATTCTTTAAATGTACCACTTCAGCCATCCTGACTAATTCTCAACTGCATTACTGTAAATGTAGCATAGCACACTTCATAAACACACATAAACCACTTAAAAAGCAAGGACAACAATACATAAAACATACAACAAAACACGCTTCAGGATATTTGAATAAATAACTAAATGAATAAACACTGACATATTGTTACCTTTAGAAGTGTTTCAGTCCAGTATTCACTATATTTTTTCTCTGTGTTTCCTTTTGACTCCTGAGGGAAATATCTGGCTCTTTTGCTGCTAAATGCTCCACTCTGTTCAAAAGCTAATTGCTAACTTTGTCAGTCTGTCTGTTGTTTGTGGTACTGAGCAGGTAGCGTACAGTCAGCTGTTGGAGCTGATAGCGCTATAGTGCTGCTGGACACAATGCTGAGCAAGCGAGCGTGGTGAGAGAGAATCAAAAGTTGTGGTCCGTAAAAAGGGACTACAATGAGCTGAGGGCCGCTGAACGCTCCATGGAGCAGTAGAGTCAGGTGATAATTATCTGTAGGTTGAACACTATGAACGACCCCTTTCATATACAAGTAGTCATTTGATCCATTGTTAACATACTGATTATGGTAGCTACTTTTTACTATCTATATTTTAATTCCTTTTAATTTGAGTGCATAATTCCCTAGTGTGTATAAACCAACTTTAACAGACAGCTGCAGATCTGGTCTGACACACACACACACACACACACACACACACACACACACACACACACACACACACACACACACACACACACACACACACACACACACACACACACACACACACACACACACACACACACACACACACACACACACACACACACACACACACACACACACACGTATAATATAGTGTAAAGTAGCTGGAAGAAGAAAAACTACAAAGAGTGTGTGAACCAAGATGTCTTGAAGGATTTATTCATAGCAATGTTGTCTGAACATATTCTGCCGTGGACAGTAGCCTCTTTCACTTCACATCTATGGTCATGTTGTAGTCCCTGGTGTACGCAGTGTGTAAACAGCATCTCTATAAAGGAAGTCTGAAAGAATGGACAGATCCCTGAGGCCTAATGAAAACACTCCGGTATCCTCGTAATAGCTTTTAATACTTCCTGCAACAGTGTATACATAATGGAGAGGGACTGCCCAATGAGGAGAACCCTAAGAGACCCTCAAGGTCTGAGCAGAGGGAAGACAACAATACACAAGTGGCCTTTACTGACGTCACACAACCAGGCATGTACTCAAGTATTTGTATAGGAACATGCATCATCCAGCTTCATACTTAGTCATCAGGTGTGTGTTAAGAGACCTCCACGCAAGCCATTATAAGCAGGATTCCTTTTAACAAGCAGTTGCAGTTACAGATGGGTAAACGTTTTTTCGTTACTCTGCAGCAAATCTGAACATTAGAGCGACAATTTTACTTTGTAACACCTACCTTTAAAGAGTAGTTTTGGTACAAGTTGATTGCTGCTCCTGCTGTGTGCGATACTGCTATTATTGTGTGCTTGTCTACAATTAGACTCTATATTACACCAGCTGTTTTTTATACTGAGGTTCAAAGAAACTTACCAATTGGATATGATCATATATGGTCCATTAGACCCAGGACTGCACCACACTCCAGACCCTCCATTACACACAACCCATCATCATGCTAATTAATACTCCATTTGGCAGGGAGGAAAGAAAATTGTGAGCAGAGAGTGGATGACAAAAAAAGGCATTAGATTTTAAAATTAATACGCTTTTATGCTTCAAGACATTCCTCCTTAATTATCCCCTGAAAAGAAAATCTTCAGATTTGTTGGTACAGGGGGGAAAAGGCTTGTACAGATTTACCTGTGTTCTGGACACCCTTAGAGATGGAAAACTCACCCAGCAGCTTGTATCCAATTTGCGGGGGGGTCAGTGGTGGAGGGAGGGGAGGGGGGGAAGTAGGGGCAGAGGTTGGGACCTGGGTGTGTCACACTGGCTGGGGTGAACAGGTATCTGTTCTGTAGGCTGGCTTCATTCAAAGTACTTACTGTAATAAGGAGTCTGCTCCTTTGACTGATTTCACCTATTTTTTCTTCACTTGTTTAAATTTGAGTATCATTATGTGATCCTAATGTGTGTATTCTAACTATCAGTAGAAAAATAAAGAAATTTACAATGCGTAAAAAGGGAGACAGGCGTTGAACAAAATGGGATAAAGTCTAATTTGCCATGAATCATGTGAACAACAGAATGAAATCAAGATGTACTAACCTCTGCTTGTTTGCGCCACATGTCCAGGTTCTTGCGCTGAGCTTTGGAGAAATGGTCCCATGCCTTTTGTTTGGAAGCAGCTTGGAATACAGACACAATCTGTTCAACTGTGGCGGGATGCAGGGAAGGACCAGAGACCATCCAGAGACAGAGAGAGAAAGAAAGACAGAGGGCAGGTGGGAAGGAGCAGAGGAGTGAGAAAGTGGAGTCAACTAGGGATGTAAAGAACTGTGTGTGTGTGTGTGTGTGTGTGTGTGTGTGTGTGTGTGTGTGTGTGTGTGTGCGCAACTGTGTGATCTACTTACCAGCTGATGCCAGTGCATCATCTCATGGATGGTTGGTCAGATAGTTCCCACAAGCCAAACTTAAATAAATCATATGTTTTCCCAACATACTTAAATTATATACACACAATGCTGGTTCATACAGACTAAAGCCCTTTAACTCTATAGCTCTGTTAATACTGAATTAGATTTTTATTAGCCAGTGGCATGACTGAAATATCTCAACACCTACTGGATCGACTTTCATGAAACTGTACAGACAAAAATGGTCCTCTGAGGATGAATCCTACTGACACTTGTATTTCCTCTAGCGCCATCATGAGGTTGACAGTTGTGGTTTTGAGTAAAATGTCTTGATAACCGTTGGCTGAATTGGATAATTCAACAGATTGTTGTATGAACACTTATCTGCAAAACTAATAATATTCCCATCAGCCTCCGCTTTACTTTGTGTGGCAACTATTATCATTTTAACATGCTAAGCTAAGAGAGTGAACCTGGCAAACATTACACTTGCTAAACATCAGCATGTTGACATAGATTCACTGTGCAGGCTCACAGAGCTACTAGGATGGCTGTAGTATTCTTTGTCTTGTTTAATATTTGTTTAACAAGGGAAATTTTGCTAAGCAACTGGCAGCTGCCAAAAATAACCTACTTAAAGTGTGCCACTGTTGACTACTGTGCAGATCCACTACAGCAGTGGGCTGTTAGGAATCTTGCCCAAGGACACCTTGTTAAAGTCGCACAGTGTTCCTGATTTACTTTCCTTCTATGCAGATTTGTCTTTTCTTTTAAAGGGAACAGCTGTACGCTTCAAGCCTCTGTAGTTAACCCTTGAGTACAGCTGTAGCTGCAAAATGAAACTTAACACTGGAGCTGAGCTGAGCAAGCTCCAATTAGTCTTATTTATAGGACCAGACCTTTAACTCTGAGGTTTCCACTTTTCCCACATGCGATGTGTATGATGACAGTCTGTATAGTGTATGTAAAATTCTATCTTGCAGTATGTGTGCAGTATGTATTGATATAGTCATTCCCCTTACACCTTTCTATCTGCAGTCATGTGGGTGGTCATGGAGGAGTGTATGGGTGGTCTGTGTGTTCCAGAGGTCCTAATGTACACAAGGGGGAAGTCAATATGACCACCAGCTAAGTGTGTGTGTGTGTGTGTGTGTGTGTGTGTGTGTGTGTGTGTGTGTGTGTGTGTGTGTGTGTGTGTGTGTGTGTGTGTGTGTTTGCAGAGTGGTGAGAGAGAGAACAGTACAGGGATCAATAGCGTCTTCCCAGCACCCTGTAATTTGATGGAGCAGATCGATGGTGAAGTCAGAGAAGAGAGGAAAGGGTACAGACAGACTTTCATGCTTGTGAGCTTATATGCAATATGTGTCTATATTTATCTATACGTCTCTATATATATTATTTAGACACACATAGTATGTATATAGTAGAACGTAATTCAAATAGAAACTCTTCACAGTGAGGTCTGTGGATTATCTTTAGAAAAAGGGATATTGTTTCTTGAAAGGCAAGATGCTTTTGAGTCTTTGAAATGAAAAATGAAATGCTCTGCACCCTTATTGTATTAGTGCCGCAGCACAAGATTGAGAAGCCAATAGCTCAAAACCTGGGCACATGAAATGAAAGCTATCTGCATGGCTAGATACCACAAGGGATTAAGTGACAATATGTTTTTTTTGTGACTTGGGCAAACTGACCTTTAAGGTGACATATTCCATCATCTTATGTGGATGGCAACTAAACGAATCGACGAGCTGAATTTATTTGGTATGGACAGAGAGTTGTTCCCAAGTGAAACTTTAATACCTCCTCACAGGAGGCCAGTCTCTCTTATCATTAATTTGAGCAGCAATGCACCAAGAGGAAGGCAAAGTCATGAGGAGGAATGTGTTTGTATGGGCTGAAGTGATGGAGGATGGCCAATACAAGGGCAGCAGCTCTGCTTCTCTCTTTGTGGTTAATAAACACAATCTCACCCACGTACACCCGCGTACACCTTCTACGCATAATCTAATACACAATAAACAAAACAAAACAAAAGTTGTGAACTTCACTTTGTGTTGAAGGATGTTTACATTCTATTTAACATGCATGTGGTGGGATAAGAGGAGACACAGTGCTGCAGGCGGTGTTGTAAACCAGCTGCTGCACAGCCCAAGCTGTCAAAGGTGTTTAGGGGCAGTACTCTTTGCCTTTGGCCTTCATCAACTGAAATGAGATAAGCATGCATTTACTGTATATGTTTGGCCTCCACTGTATTCATGCAATGAATGTGTTGGGCTACTTACTACTTTCATCTGAAGGCAACATTAATAATATTCCACTGCAGTCACTGTTGCCAGTTTTATTTTTCCTTTAATGTTTATGATATTTCGGACTAAAAAACGAGCAGAAAACTGAACGCCTGGTGGTTTAAAGAGACATAACAACACTGAGGAAAGAAATTTAACTTACCTTTAAGCCAATCCTCCCCAAAACCAACTAGCTTCTATGATGCTATTAAACTTAATAACCTTTATATTTGAACAAAGTGTACTCCTTAGTGATTTATAATACTGTGCACACATGCTCTGTGCATCGTGTGGGAGTTAACGAAGGGGTGTGAACAATATTATACTTACGTGCAACATTAGGTACTTCAGGCACAAAAAGTCTTGACTGGGATTTTGTCCTCAGTTGTGAAACTGTATGGTACCCGCCAATCTACAGGATGTATGTTGTGTGTCTAGTCCTATGATAGGAAAACTTACACTAAAGCAGAAACATGGCCAAGAATGGATTGGACTCATTCTCCTCCTCCTCCTGTACCTCTACTGAACCACAAGGTGTATGAAATGTATTCTAGCTGTAAACTTTAATTGAGTTACTCTCTCTCGCTCAGTGTGAGTGATCCTGAGCTTTTATTTATACAAAAATGATGAAACGCTGATGTACACTTTTTGTACACTACTGTAGTATATACAGTATAAACTGTTTTCAGCTGTCGTGTGTGTGAGATTGAGAACACAAAACTCACATTGAACCACTATGCCGGACAGAGCGGTCTTGAACTTGTCTTTGGCCTCTTCCATCTCCTTTTCGTGCTGACTCTTCTCGCCCGTCAGCCGGCGGATGTGGCCGTTGGAGGACTGGATCATGGAGTAGAAGTTATTGGCATTCCTGCGGTTGACTTCACCTCGTTCCAACCAGGTCAGGAGAACTCGCACTGCTTCAGGAAACTTGCCGTCGTCTGGACAAGAGGGGTGGACAAACAGAAAGGAAAGAGTCAGGTTCTATACAGGAAAGCAATTCCTGTACAGTCCCAGGACACCAATGGTGGTGAAAGCAACACCTTGAAAGCCGAAAAGGATGACAAAACCCTATGAAAGCAAACAGTCCTGCTTTGTGGTAGATAACAGATATTTACGGTACTGTAAGGGAAAATGTAGTTAACTTTAAATAAATGTAGTACCAAGCGTTTTTCATTTTATTGAGTAAAAAGTAAATACATCAGGGTTTATGTGAGCAAGGTAAAAAGATTAAAAATACCAACACAGTAAACTGAAGAGCACAAGGACAAGAGAACAAAAAGACTATTGGATTAAAGGTAAAAAAGAGGACTGTACATATGATAGACTGTCCAACTGTTCAACAACAAAAACAACTTCACAGACCACTATGACACCTTTGGGACCTGGAGAAAAAAGTAAAAGGAGGGGATGAAACCCATTTGGTGCTGTGGGAAAAAGTTGAGCTCCTTGCCATTAAAAGGACAAATTGGGTTTGGAGTACAGGAATATAACTGGCACTCAAAAGTAAACCCCTTTTTCCCTCTGGGTGGAAGAATCAGTAAAGAGTTAACCTAAATCTGCAGCAAATAGCCAGGATATGTTTTCATAACAGCAGACCAAAATGATCAGAAACAAATCCTTTGCCACAAGAGCACAGAGTTCTTTACACCGGGGCCAGGGAAGGGAGTGCTGAAAAAGACACACGCAGATGGTAGAGAAGCAGAAAGTCACAGCCATTTTGTTATCGTGCAACAGTGACTCAGACCTGGAAGTGTCATTGCTCATTAGTGGAACAAGTTTATTCAGCCAGAAACTCGAAGGAAAGCCGAGAAGACGATGGGGGGAGGGGGTAGTGCGTGAGAGAGAGACCATGGAGAGGATGAGCAGAGAGGAACAGAGAGTACAGAGAGGAGAAAAGAGGAGAAAGGACAAGATAAGAAAGAGGAGGATGTGCTGAGAGGAGAGTAAACTGATATACCGTGTTTAACAGCCTTTGTGTAACGTCTCTTGAAAACAAATTCCCTGAATTTGTTAGAACATCAGAGAAACTGCTTTGTCAGTTTTACCAGCTGCAGTTTAGGACCATTCCCGTAATGACTTTGCTGTCCCAATGCAAGCATGCAGATTTACCTTATCCCCTACCTTGTTGGTTTGTGGTTTGTATGGAGAACAACAGTGCCACAAGTGGAACTTTTTTGCTTGTGTTTGTTCATTAATGATGTGACGATTATAATTTGTGCTGCAAATGTCCTTAGGTTGGTTCTTCCACATGTGTGAAGGTTTTACTTCTTTGTGCTATCATATCATGCACATATTTTATTGTATATGTTTTCAAGGTCTACCAACCTTTGATCTTGTCTCCCAGCTGGCTGCACTCGTGCTCGGAGTAGTGTACAATTGGAGGAGGGGATGGCGGCCGGAGGCGATCCTCCTCCATCTTGCGCCGGTGCCTCTCCTCTCTGGCCAACATGCGCTGACGACACTCCCACTCATAGAGGTCGTCTCTGGCCTGTGCAAAGTCCACGTGGAGACGGCCGGTGTCTTTTTTGTCTGTGCTGGAGCCCAAGCGTACACGGTAACCTATGAGAGAGGTTAAAAAGAAAGAGGAGATAGGAGGAAGTGGTAGAGAGAAAAAATAAATATGAATGGAGAAGCAGGTGGGCCAGCAGTGAACTCACCAATTAAAATGAAGTAATCTATCTGCTTAGACAGCTTGATGTAATTTTCACAGCATGCTGTGCCTTTTTCAGGTGTGAAATACCCCTAACTTTTAAAGAAAACTTTTCTTTACCACAATTTGCTATTTGGTGTCAGGCTGTTGGTCCACTGCCATTTAATTTTGTATAGACATTCATGGTCCCCAGAGGATGAATCCTACTGATGTTGGCAATCCCCTGATTTTTCATGTAGCGCCATCATCAGGCTAAATGTTAATAACCAATATCTGCAAAACCAAGTTACACTTTGTGTTTAGTGCTAAATGCTAGCATGCTAATGTTCTCAATTAAAATGGTGAACATGGTGAACTTTATACTTGCTTAGCACCTGTTTCTTAGCATTTTCATTATAAGCTTGTTACTTAGTATACTGACGTTAGCATTAAGCTCGAAGCACAGCTTTGCCCAAGTATAGTTTCAGAGGCTGTAGCCTCTTAGTCTCGTTATTAGATATTTGACAGTAGAGAGCAACAAGAAACAGAGAGAGAAGAGGATGACATGTGACAAAGGTCCCTAGTTGGATTCAGACTGATGAAGCCTGAACGCCTTTAATTTCTGACAGCTGTCAATGTCACACTTCATACTCACATCTGGCAGTCTCTCTTTTATTAAACAATACTCATTTCCCAATCATTTTGAAAATAATGTATGCTAAATCATGCTCACTACAATCTTACATCTTCTAGCCTGTTCACAAAAATTAAGTTAAGGACACTGTGCATTAAATGCAAATAAGAAAACATGCCTGGAGGCGTGAATTTGACTCTGAATAGCAACACAGGAAAAAAGGAGCAGGAGACTGAACTGGTACACACACGAGTTTACTCTATACGTTGCAGGGTTTCTTTCTGGTCCATTTGTGAGTCACTTCCCATCACCTTCCACAAAACAAATTTAGACCACTTAACAGGTAACAGACAAACCACTGAGCAAGCTCCTTAATGGGTCTACCTGTATACTACCTCTCTCTTTAAACTTGTCATCACCTATTTTGCTCATTGGATTCCTCAGAAGATATACTGGATCTATAGGGTTTTATGGAGTACAGAAGGCCTGCATCCTTTTGTCAATACATGAGAGAGACTTAGGGAGACCAATTACTTCTCTAGTGGCACTGAAAGACCACAATATCCCTCATTACCTCACTACTTCCCTCTTATCCTCACACTCTCCTCCTTACTCAATTTTCACTAATGGCTGGTTGCGGGGATGAAGAGAAATCATGCCCATTTTGTGATTTAATTGGTTGAAATGATCACAGTAAGTGTTTGGGTACACATGTGTGAGTGTGTGCTCTAGCCGTACACAGTAATGATGCCCGGTGTGATTCACTGTGAGGCCAAACACACTCATCACAGGAGAAGGGCGGTAGTGGTGCCAGTGTAAACCAGGAAAGAAATGAGCGCAAGTTTGGGGGTTTCTACTTCAGTCTGCTCTCACAGCTTCAGGCTCCCAATCTACCACTACTTCAATATTTCATATGAGGAGATCTCAGTGTGCCGGGGCCGCTGGAGAGTGTGTGTGTGTCCTTGCTGGTTACTGTGTTTGCACAGGGTGTGTATATGTGTTTGAGGGGGTATTATTTATGGGAAAACTACAAAGCTCTGTCATCTGGCTAATATATGGGCCTCAGCTCCCACGTCTCACTGTGAGAATAGAGGCAGAAGAAATCACAGTCAGTCTCTCTCTCTCTCTCTCTCTCTCTCTCTCTCTCTCTCTCTCTCTCTCTCTCTCTCTCTCTCTCTCTCTCTCTCTCTCTCTCTCTCTCTCTCTCTCTCTCTCTCTCTCTCTCTCTCTCTCTCTCTCTCTCTCTCTCTCTCTCTCTCTCTCTCTCTCTCTCTCTCTCTCCAAACTTAATAATGTTGGGAATGCTGCTGAATTGGCTGCTAGGTTAAATGGGTTTTTAAGGTAGGAATATGCACAAATACACATTAATACTATACCAAACTGCTCTTAGACAATGACTAAGATAGAGGTTTTACACTTCTCGCAGCTTACCGGACAGGAAGAGAGCTTTGTCCACAGTAAACTCTTCAGCAAATCTGATATGGCAGAAGTTTTTCTTGCTTTTGCGTATGGCGGTGATGTCACCACATTGTCCAAAGACCTCCATGATGAGCTGCTCTGTGGCGTTCTCGGGCAGCCCACCGACAAACACCGTCTTACACCCCGGGGGACGGTCTCTCGTGGCCGGAGGGGGAAGGTCTGTTCAAAAGTAGCGGAACAACAGAGAGAACGTCAACCATCACTAGGTTGAAATATTAAGGCTGTAAAAAATGCCAGAATGATGAAACTGAGCATTTGCGTTCTTGTAGAGGTTGTACAAACAACATGATTCCGCTGTCACTGAAACACGTTGATGTTGAGTATAAATTATGTTCTTCTAAACACAATGTCCAATTGCAAGAACATGCTGTTTTGATTAAATCACTGAAAATCATTTTGGCAGACCTGAGGAGAAGGTCTGACTTCCTATCTAGTGTTTTTTGTTTTTTATATTACACATGCATAGAAGTTAAAATTTCAAATGAGAATACAATAGAAGTGAAAGTTTCTCTTTGTATGAGTGCCTACGTCTTATAAGGTACGATAGAAAAGGAAGGAAAGAGGGAAAAGGAAACTGCCATGATGAAGCATCAACGCCTCTCATAATGACTGAAGAATACAAAAGAAAATACATAATATCCGGGAGGCATAGATGACAAATCAACCCCAAAAAGGACCTGAGGTCAAACTTCACATTCAAGCTGAGAAGAATAAGGGGCCAGGGCACATTAACATTTAAAGAAAAAGAAATAAAAATCGTTTGTAAAACCACATTGTGGAGTTTGGTGCTGCAGAATTCAAAAAGTCATATTTAAAACATAGCACTTATGACCTAAAAAAATGATAAAGCATGAATAATGATAACTTGGAGCAATATGCTCAGATCGTTTTTTTGTTAGATAAATGTTAATATCAAACCATTTCATGCATGAAAATGAAATCCTTTTTGGCCATAAAGTGATTGCAAATCCTCTCATGTGGAAGGTCCCCTGCATCGCAGAAATCACTTATTCAACACAGATGAGTGTTGACTGATCTAATCTCCAATAGATCAGGCTTCTCATCCATGATGAATGTGATTAGCTGGGTCTATGAGGAGTGAACCAGCTAATCAGTGGAACGCTGAGAATGCTATATTTCCAGATGTCTGCTAGAAAGGCCCTGAAGTCAGAGTTACTGATGCTCCCACCCTTGCAGATATCAATACTCTGAAATGAACTAGGGTTGAACCTGGTTGATATCTAAAGGCGCATAATGAGGGCCTGGCTGATCAGCGCCAAGTGGAGTAATTCAGATACTTTGGGCTCTTATTTAGGTGTGATCAAACAGATTTCAAGACTGTCAAACGGAACTCTCGATAGGGTGGCAAACTTCTGCAGCACGACTACTGTTTTTCAACATAGAAGTCTGTTCTGTATAGAAAACAATTGTTCAACATATCTTGCATTCTGGTTCCCTTTTTTTTTTTTTTTTTTTTCTTCCATTAGCCAAAAACTAATATATGAAAACTCTTGCTACCCTCTGTCTGTCTCCTTCTGCCTGACACAGCAATTTGGGAGGACGTCAGTATTGAGCCTCTATTATTGCTTCACATTTAGTGGAGCCAGCTGTCGTTAGAGCAAAAAATTTTTTTTTTACAAAAAGAAATATATTCATCGTATGTCAAGCAGCAAAAACACAACAATCCAAAGTCAGTTTTCTACTGGCTAAAAAGATTTATCAGCTTATAATCCCCCTGCAGTCAGAGTTCCTTGTACTCTCATGCAGTACTCTGCAAGAGTTGCAAAAAACTTTCAGTCCTGGAGACCAAGCCAGATCTCTCTCTCTTCTTTCCCTCTCCCTCTCCCTCCCTCCCTCCCTCCCTCCCTCCCTCCCTCCTTCCCTCCCTCCCTCCTTATCCCTCTCTCTGCCTCCTTTTTCCTTGAAATGTGACTGGTAAAGAAAAAATATTGACTGAAGTTTCATTCCTTGACCTCCAGAGTTGGCTTGGATTAAACTAGTTTTGAGTCGAGATGGACAGAAAAAGTAAAGGTGGCGCAGAAAAAGCTTGCGATAGCAAGAAAAAGCTTTGTTGGCAGATAGAACAAAGAGTTCCAAATTAACTGACCTTTTCGGTCCACGAGTGGCTGATGGTGGTGACGGTGACAATGGGGAGAGCAATGAGGACAGAGAAAGGAGAACAGGTGCAGTACAGCAGCAACCTAATGTGTCATGTTGTAAATTAAATAAATATTGTTTTGTTTTGCAGTAGAAAGTTTGGGTTATTTTGGCTTCAGCAAGTAATTTGTTAGGAGCTCACAACTGTTTGCAGGAATGAGATAATTCTGCTATCCAGCTACCTGCTGAGCTACTGAATCCCACTGTTCAGGAAATTAGATTTTATTTTATGCAAATGCACTAAGCACAAGATTCAGGTTAAGTATTTATGATTTTCTCATTAAATTACAAAACATGATAACATACAATATGTGACATTCCTAGTGATTAATTTCTTATGCAAATGAAAAGCAGGCTGAGAAAGATGGGGAGAGGATGGATGGAGCATCTTTTGCAGGATCCACTGTGGAAATCATAACATGTGGGTGCTGCTGCCAGACAGAGTTTAAAAGTAATTTTCTTTCAAAATTCCAACTCGATGCATGTATCCCTTTGAGTAATTGTGAGATGGACACTTCAAGGCTGATAATCCTGAAAGGCAGACAGAGAAACTGAGTGGAGAGACGAGTGTATGCAAAGTCCAGGCAAGAAAAAAAGAGCAAAGGATGGAGAGAGCACATATTAACGGATTATGGAGATCTTTTTATTTTTTTAAACGGCATTAAGTTATTATGATTTTGTCCAAAGTTTTAAATATATTTATTAAATTTAAACATAAGGAAGTCCTAAGGATATAATACAATAACATATAGAAACACAATTGCCTTAAAAATTACCACAGAATTAAATCTGGTGCATTAGATTGAATTAAAATGTACAAGATTTTCTATTTTTCTGCACACTGATTATTTGTAAAAGTGGCAGTCTGCAGATATATAATTCTTTCATTTCTCTCTTTCATTTTAAGGCTCCGGTAAAGCAAATACAGAAGCTGTTTCTCAGTCCAGCCTCGTCCCATAGGCCTGCTGCCTGCTTGGCCACCCACTGGTCTGCTACACAAACACAGGTTATCACCATCCATCACCTCGACTGGCTAAACACCTTTTTATGGCCTGAGGGGCTGCCACAGGGAGGAGGCTTCCACTCTCAAAGGACTGTTATTCAGAAGATAAAATACATTTACACACACTCAAGTAAACACGTTTAGTTCATTCACGTCACACATGAACAAGCAAAAAGGCAGGAACCTGTACACATGAAGATTTATCACGCGGAGAAATAGACATCATTGTGAGCACGCTCTAATACACTAGGACTTCCCTGCCTTTGTCTTTCATTGGGATCTTGGTTGAAAGCTGAATTTTGATTTTTTTTTTTGTTTTCTACAAACTATGGCATCACAGTAATACTCAAGATACTTAAGACAACCTTCTGCAGGATTGCATTTATCTGCTGAAGTACTAAAAATCAATTCATCTCAATTAACACTAATCAATTAACTGAAAAATTCGGATGACCAACAATTTCTTTTTTGAGAACAGCCCAGAAAGACATCTATATCAGCAGTGGGACAAAATAAACAGAAACAAAAATACTGCCACTTCTGTCAGTGTGCATCTTTCTTCATTCAAGCTAAACTGAGTGTGTATGTGTGTGCATTTACAACACTGAGACACACTGCTGGTATCCTCAAAGCTCAAAAGGATATGTTTCATCTTTCCTTAAAGGTGATTATAAAATATATCTCTCAGACTACCTTCAAGAGTTTGAAAGACTAAGAGAGACAGACAACACAGACTTTGATGCCCAAATTGATTACTAAAGTGAGTTCATAGGTCCAAATGTTGAGCGTAGTCTTTGCACACCATTTAAAAAGGAAAAAGGTACTAAACCACTTTCCCTCTACAGTAGATAGATAAGTGGGTAGAAGCAGCAGTGGAAAGGGTGACATAAAGAGGTGTTAAGGCTGAATTTGCTGGGGTTGACTGAAGAAAGGGGAGAAAGGATGCAACAAGGCAAGAGCTTGACGAGGATGTACAGTGATGGTAAAGGTTATGCACACTGAGGAGATAGAAGAGGAGGGAGAGAGCTTGAGAGCTGGGGGAGGGCTGCAGGGTTGTTGCTGCTCAGTTACAGGTCAGTGAGAAGAGATGCTGCATGTTGTGTCAGGTTGACTGTGTGCAGCTAGAGGGTAATGACTACTTGTGATGGACACCATATGCAACCTTGTTGCTAGATGCCAGCGCTTCGCCTGTGATATATGCTAAAAGCCTGCATGCATCAATGCTTGTTTCCCTTTGTTTCTCGAATACTGTATAACCCTCTAAACCAGCTGCATCCCTACATACATCTCTGCTTCAGAGCAGTACTGAACCAAAACCTATGGCTACAGTACAACTGATTTCACAGTATTATTCAATAATATTACAGCTACACACACACACTGCCGAAATGGTTCTACATCACATTTACAGTAAGCTTTATGTAGCCTCAATGCTATAGTATAGTCTAACTATTGTGATATTTAATCAATTACATGCTTTCTTAAAGGAAAAACTCACGGGTTCCAGATTCGGATTATCTTTGGGATGTGGACTGTTGACGGACAAATAAAAATATTGTGTGGAACAAACAATTCAATTAAATTCAACTTTATTTGTATAGTGCCAAATCATAACAGAAATTATCTCATGACACTTTTTATACAGAGCAGGTCGAGAACATACTCCTTTTTTATTCAAATTAAAATTGAATTATTTACAGAGACCCATCAATTCCCACCATGAGCAAGCACTTAACCCAACAACTAATCCAGAAAGTAAACCTTTGATTAATCAATAATGAAAATAGTCTTCAGTTGCAAAACACATGAAAATGTTCAAACACAAGATGTTTGAACATTTTCTCTTAGCAGTTTTGTGCTCAAACATCACTATTTTGCATCCAAAAGTACTTCTGAAAGTGTGAAAGAATGATTTCCCTTCATCATTAATGCTCTCAGCTCTATCCTACTGGGAGGTGACACCGCTTTAGTGAGACTAAAATGATCCTCAACAATAACACTTACTTTACAAGAACATTTTATCCTTTGGATGTGAAAGGCCTGGTAGACTTTTTATGCTCAGGAACTTGGTGAAACCAATAACTTCTCTAGCTTTTTATTGCAAGAAATGTCACATTTAATGCGACAGAATTTGGCAGGTGATATGCGCCTACTCCATGAAGTGATTGAGTAGGCTTTGTTTCTATGGGCGGAAAATACCCAATAAGGTATTCTATCCATCTCTCCATTCCACTGCTTTTGCGAGTCTAGGTTCTGTTGACTGCAGAGTTTTCCAGGCATAACCCAAGATGCCCTTCTCTTCAGCAATGTCCTCTAGCTCCTTGAGGGAGATCCTGAGGTGGGATATTTAATCCCTACAACATTTTCAGGGTCAGCCCCAGTGTCTCCTTCACTGAATGCCTCCTTCACTGAATGCCTCCACTTGGAAGCGTCTAGGAGGCATCCTGAGGAGATGCTTGATCCCTGCTGCTTTCAGTGCAAAGAAGCAGCAGCTTAACTCCAACCTCCTTCTGGAAGTCCAATCTCCTGACCCCGTCCTTGAGGATCACAGATATCAGGAAGGGAAACCAATCATCTGCCTACAAGCTCAATTTTTGTAATTTGGGTAGACCTCCCTTTTCTGCACCAAATCACCCCTCTGGATCTCAGGCTGCATCTTCACTTCACTTGCGAAGAAGAAAATAAGTTTTAGTTGTAGCCTTAATCCCAAGTGCTTCACATTTGGCTACAAACCACCACAGTACACACTGGTGGCCATGGTCCAATGAGGTCAACAGAACTACATTACTGCCACAAAGCAGAGATGCAATCCTAGAGGTAACCAAAGAACGGCACTCTAGAAATCTACTCCACCGAGAGATGCTGTCTATATAAATCATAAACAGACTTGGTGACAATCCACTAACTCCAATGCACACCAATCCATACAAGTGTTAGAATTACTTTTAGTCTGACCCCTCGCCTGGGACCAATTTCTCTTCGCTACGAGAAGCTGCTGGCCACAACCAACAAAACTCCAAGGGTTTAGTGGCTTAAGTGCACAATGTAGAGCGGAAATCTTACAACAGAGTTACTTGATTTTCATGAAAAGAATCAAGGCCAGGCAGTTTTCCTCGGATGTCTGCCTATTCAAAATACTTGGCTTAGAGATGAACTTGTTTTTTTTTTTTTTTACACTGAAATAAGTGACAGGCAATAAGATCTTTTTTTTTTTTTGGCTTTTATTGCCTTTATTTGATAGGACAGCTGAAGACAGACAGGAAAGGGGGGCAGAGAGAGAGGTGATGACACGCAGCAAAGGGCCGCAGGTTGGATTTGAACCCTGGGCCGCTGCAGCAAGGTCTCAGCCTCGGTACATGGGTTGCCAGCTCTACCGGGCGCCCAGGCAATAAGATCTTAAGTAGAGATGAGGATTAAAAAAGTGAGTGAAGAGTAACTGGGACAGAGAAGAAAGCCATGGTGTGTAGAGAAAGTAGGAATAGGAGAAAGGTCCACAATTAAGTGTTGTGTTCATGCATCAGTAAGGATCTAAACAGCTTCAGATTTTGAGGCACAGATCCTCTTAGACATGGTATAATGCCGTGATGTAAATTTTCCAATCCACGTATCCATACCAAGCCACAGAAATAAGTTGTACTTGCGTCGTAGGGTGACTGTGACAGGCTTTAAAGTTGTTTGGTAATTTCTTGACAAGCTGATCCCTTACACAGCCGCAGGGTGTATATATGCTCTGAGTACATAGTTCATTTTCCCATATTGAGAACTAGCTAGAAAGATGTTCCTATGTGAGGTTAAACTTTTAATCAGCTTTTCCCTCTGCACCACATTGTGACAGTGACAGTTTATACTGAGCCATAATGCACACCACAGGTATACAGGCAGAACTTTTAAACAGCGTTATTGGTGTGGTAAAAAGAATATTTGCCTAGGAGAATGCAAAGAGTGTGGGTTTTGTTTAGTGAAAGAATTGTAAACTCCCAAGTGCTACTGTGGTGAGGGGGCTTTTGTTTTAGTTCACCTTGAAGATGACATGTAAGACTTGTTTGAATGAAGTCCCCAGGCAGAAACTTTTGTGCAGCAGGAAATCTGAAAAGCGATGGTGGGATCAATCAAAAGCACCCCCCACTACCTCTTTTCTAAGTCTGGGTAATTGGAAGGTGGAGGTGAGATAAATATAAACAACAGCTTGTGCAGCACACCTCTACTCAGATTACATAAAGTGACTTGCCCCGAAAGGTTTGTGGTGTGCATGTAAATTAAGTTTATGGTGATCAGGTTAAGGGGCTGGGAGTATGATATATGTAAGAAAAGCATCACAGAGAATCTTGTCAGAGATGAAACATCCAAACAAATCTACAATGCTGATATCTGCCATAACCACACTCATTTGTCACTTCATCTCTTTCCTTGCATGCAGTGAAAATTAAGCAGATCTTTTGGGCAAAGCTGTAAATGGCTAGAGCTGAAACGATTAGTTGGTCAAAAGTGATAAAGTGAAAGGTAAAATATCAATTCATCATCTGAATGTTTTTTCAAGTTAAAAACCTCAAAATATCCATGGTTACAGTTGGCTTAATTAGTGTTCTATACTGCAGTGGACATCTTTGGGGGAAGATGTCACCCTAAGCTCTAGAAAATTGTGATGTGGATTTTTCACCATTTTCTGACATTTTATAGACCAACATATTAATTGCTTAATTGAGAATATAATTGTCAGCTTAATCAGTAATGACAATAGCGGCTATGAAATGAGATTGAAAGCTTATGAAACAAGTTGAACCTTGTGTTCTCCACAGTCCTTTCATTGTGTAGTAATTGTTTTGAATGGCGATGCTGGTTAAGGAGAAGGTTGTGTGTGCAGGATTTAGCATGATATTATGACTTACTGGGGTTGGGGGGGAACAGGGTGCAGCTCTTGCAGTGTATGATCTCCTTGACAAGTGGCACATCCTGAGAGAGTGGTGCGGGCACCATACCAAGACCAGGCATCATAGGATTCAGGGGGGTAATTCCAGCCATCATTCCAAGGTTGGGATCAAAATCTGGAGGCAGGAGAGAAATCTAAATGAGATCACACAGCAGGTCCTTCCTGGGAAAAGCACTAACACCTACACAGTAACACAGACTTTCGGTCAGGTATCACTGCAGCCCACAGTTTCCTTTTAAAGTTCCATTTTATGTTGTGTACTTACTCCCTGAGTGATTCTTCTGTCAACACCAGTGACACACAAACAGCCCACACATAATGGAATACACAGCCATTCATAAATAAATCATCTTGTAAACAACATGCATATTTTAAGAAGTTTTTAGTGAGCCACTCTCTCTGTCACTCCTGCTGTTTGAATGATAAGCTTATAGATAATGTACACAGTTGGGTCTAAAACATACACACCAGAGATGCTTTATTTACAATATCGATTCACACTGCAGCACTGGCATCCACAGTCAACACGTGTGCTTTTAAGTGCACATGCGTCCCAGTATGGAGCTTTTTGAAATGGAAATGACGCTGCCCTCCAGTATGTGCCTCAACATCACCTGCAGAGGATTTTGAGTCGACAATTATGCCGCAGGGTGTGTAATGTTTACGCACCTGTGTATGTGCATGCAGGAGCACTGCTCACTAAAACAAATCCTTCACTGGAGATTATACACACACTGTAATAAACTAGACGTGTAACAAAATCAAACTGACACGCTGGCTAAATATTTTACAGAGGGTGTTATTTGCTGACTGTAAGACACAATTCCAGATCATGAAATGCAAATAAATAAACAAGCAACATAGTGACAGAGAAATACTCAAAAATTATAACTAAAGATATTAATGTTCAGCTTTGATTGGCACTGTCAGTTAATGTAAATTCAACTACATGTTTGTTATTGAGGTTGTACTTTGCAGTGGTGTTGTACTGGACTGCATTATATTAAGACACCTCTTCTAATGTTTCGCCCATCCCATTTACAAACATGATGAGGCAAGAATATTAAAAACATATGTCAATATAATGCAGTGCAGTACGACACCACCACTAACTAGGGGCTTAGTAATAAACACACAGTGGAATTAACACCCCTCGGATGGTTTTCATGCTTGAAATATGAAATGAAAAATGTGTGGCAGAGCTGTTGTACCAAATTGTACCAGCATTAGGTTGTATTGGTGTCATGTGTCAAGTAGCCAGGTCAGTTCAGTCCAGTCCAGTCATATTATTATCTCAGATGGGAAACTTGATTTGCAGTCAGGGGCACAAACAAAAATGATTACTGTACATACAATATACAGTAAACCATAGTATAACAGCGGTGCAAAAAAGATATGCAAGATGCTAAAAGTAGGCCTACATGTGCAAATTTGATGCTAAAAATGTAAAATTACATGTGGAATCTAAGCAAGGATACTGCACAAGGAACAAATGAGTTTTTACTCCTATAGCACTTCTACCATGGCACTCTAAGGCCTCTATCTTACCGAACTGAAACGCAAGTATCAAACGCAAAACGCAAGTAACTTTGTGGGCAAATTAGCTTTGGTTAAACATGCGTAGGAGGACATTGCCACAAATTGTTTCTACAGCTGGCATCCCCAGGACACCACACCAGTGCCGCAAGCGCTACAACGTTGTCAGAAGACGGGGGAGGTCCAAGCTTGCTGGCAACAATCGGACACGCCGTATAACTGGAGGTGGATCTGCCTCTACTCAGGACCTGACGCCAGCAGAGGACATCCTGCGTCCACCCTCATCGCTGAAAGCGCTGAGGGATTTTGGGGCTTGGAAATCGGCACCCAACCCAATACACTAGCTGTCCAACCCCAAGGTACACTTACAAATCAAGTTCACATACATAGAGATTTCTCATGAAAATCTTTTTAACCATTATTGACATGAAATAAATGTAACACAGCCATACAATAAATCCAAACAATGTAACGCAGCTTCGCAGGAAGAAGACCCTGGCCTCGGGAGCAGTGCGCACGGTCCGAGCAGTACGCAAGGGCCAGCTGCCATTATATAGCATTTCACGCACTGTTGCTGGCATAATAAATGGTGTCATCAGCCATGTCTTTAATTGATAGCCGTTGTCCCCTAACAGCCACCCATCCAAGGGGGGATTCCCCTCGAAGATGGCAGGAATGGCAGAGTTTGCCAGTATGAATGAGTCGTGGCTTGAGTCTATAGCACCAAGGACATAATACCTATGTGTCTTGTGACTATTGGTCAAACAGGTTAGTTTGATCCGTCATTACTACAATTAGCCTGAATATTTTGGGTAACTGTGTACGCTAGATTTATGCCTATTTTTTCACATCTTCATGGACTTTGTATAGGATTATGTATAGTTTGCAAAAATGGGAACTGCTTCCTTGTAGATGAGAGAAGCAAAGTGTATGCACGTTGTGCACACGCTACATTATGGCCAAGTCTGCGCCCTTAAAATAGCATCTGAATGAGCACCACTGACTTTAGACTAGGTTTTTCCTGGTCTGTTGCGGAATTGTTTTCTGAAACAGCAAAATAGCACCAGGGAACGTTTGCGCCGGAACACGCCTCCTCTTTTCGCTGAACCGCCCCCGGGAGCGCAAGTTCATTCCCTAATTTAAGGACGTGCGTCTGTGGAGGGAAAATTCCAATGTGCGTCGAATGCAAAATAGGAATTATACAAGCGCCAGTGTACAAAGTAAATTGCGCTTGAGTGCAAGATAGAGCCCTAAATCTATGGCCTCAGCGTAGAGTTTCACACTCAAGGTGAAGGGGGTGGGGGTACAGGCCAGTATGGCCTTGCGGTGAACCTGCAGGTTAAAAATAGCCATCGGGGGTGTCTGTAGGACACCTATCACCGTCCCAGTAAACGTTGCTATCCGTTTTACAGACTGCATCAGAATTTAAATCAAATTTCAAGTTACTATCTCTGACTGTTCCAAGATATTTATATTGTTCAATAATGTCAATGGCAGTTCCTTTTATGAAGGTCTGAGATGGTGGGTGGGATGATTTCCTTCAGAAATCCATGACCATATCCTTGTTCTTTGTAATGTTTTTTTCTTTATTTAGCTTTTCCAACCTTTTCCATTTTACAGCAGTGAAATATAATTCCATCAATCATTTTCATAACAACATAATAGTGTATATTGCTCTTTATTCAATTATAGACAATGTTATTTCAAAATGATTTTAGTTCATAATGGCTACTCTGCCGTTGAACCTTCTGTTGCTATAGCAACCACCACTGACACAATTTGACAACTGTTTCACTGACACTGTTGCATCTACTATTTTGTCAGATCCAAGCAAATATTGACAGGAATATTTTATCTACTAGCCAGACATCCTTGTTCAAGCATTATATGTGGGTTCTGCTTTTATTACAGTCTAAATTGTTTGATCATCTTTCTGCTAACCCAGCTAGCCACTATACTAGCTGTCTGGAGCTAATGTGTTGTTAAGGCAACAATTTAAGTAGTTAAGCCTTATTACTGTCAGAAATTGTGTGTCAGATTACTTTTATTCTGGTGCATGTTATGTGTATGTTTAGATTAGACTAGTTACTGCATTATATTTCCTATGGGGGCTTAATGTTGATCTTTTTGACAGCTAATCTATGCTCTTGTGCATCAACACATTTTTTCATTACCTTCGGTCCTACTCTCGTTTATGGAATCTCATTGTTTTCTGATTTGTAATCATTAAAGGTATTGTTAAATACTCCTTTTAAAGTTTAACAATTGCTTCCAGCTAAAAACTTCAAAGGCAACAATTGTCTGCTTCTTGAATCTTGAATTCAGCTCTTTACTTTGTTTGCTTTGAATATGTATACCTATTCACTTAAAATTTCATTTTGTTATCCCCCTCCAACAGAGAATAACAGCAGCAAACAATATGTGGCTTCCATTACAATTCTGACTATTTTGATCTTCACTGCAATAAATTCAGTGAAGGAGAAATTATATTTACTGTTCTACAGTATACACCATTAGCTTGAAATAGATACATTTCCTCTTAAGTGATTTCCTCTAAATCTGCTGCAAGAGAGCAAATGGATGAATTGAATGACACTCAGTGAAGGGAAATAAAGAAATATGCACATTACAGAAGAGTCAGAATAGGTCCCAGGAGCCAGAGAGGCTGTAATAAAGACGTTAGACTAATAAAACCGGCTTAAAGACAAAAATGAGGAGACAGAGACAAAGGCCAGATAGAGAAAAGAAAACAGTCCAAACCCCTCTTTCAAAAAACCCCCAAAAAGTGCAAACTACATTAAAAGAAAATGGATGGAAACTATAGGTCTATTGATGACCTCACCATCAGTCTCCAACCAGGTGTCAGTGAGAGGGAACAGGTGATAAGGACCCTAGTTGCCAGGCGATTGATGGCTTCTTCTGCACGTTAAAGTGAAGGAAAAGAAGATGGATAGCAGAAAGGAAGATAAGAAAGAGTGGATGGAAGATGGGACGTTGCTGCAATAACCAATGTGAATGCGAAACAATACATAAAAAAGGCCTGAGCAAATGAAACCGAGTATACAAGCCTACATTCAGTGTTGTGGGAGGTTGCCTTTCAGAAGAAAACATATCTTGGAAATAATATTTCTGGAAATCATGCTTCATTTTCTGTCAAGCCAATGCTGTATCATTGCAGTGGTACAATTAGGAAACATGCTTATGAGTTCTTATCTTGTGTATTGATGGAAAGCAAACTAGATTTCAGCTCACATGGAGGCAATGATCTGGTTGCATCAGTGCATGTCTGGTTCAATTTCACTGCTGCTGCTTATGTTCCCTCTGGAGTATGAGTGTGTGTGTGTGTGTGTGTGTGTGTGTGTGTGTGTGTGTGTGTGTGTGTGTGTGTGTGTGTGTGTGTGTGTGTGTGTGTGTGTGTGTGTGTGTGTGTGTGCGCCAATGTATTTATCCTCGTCCATTAAGAGCCTGAGACCTGAAGCAAGCATGTAGCTGAGCTGTGTGTAATAAACGAGATTATTTACTTATTCCTAAGAATTTCCAGCTGAGATTCCTCTCACCTCCAGTTTCAACAATATAGCT